TTTTTTTTTTCTTTTTTTTTTTCGGATATCGTCCACTTATGACCACGTCAGTTTTGCCGACACTTCTTTCTTTCTACAGCAAAGGCAGACAGACGAAACGCGAGACCATGTCGAAGACCAGCAGCATCTTATCACTTCACTTCTTTCTGTTTTGACTATATCACAGCGCCCAGGGACGACCAATGTGCACTTACTCACTTGAGCACGTAACAACATATGACCAGTGCCGCCGACTCTTTCTTCTTCTTCACACAAGGCGCGACACAAAAAAGCTACCAAAAAAAATATGGCATTTCATTCGAGCATCATCTTCTTCTTATTCGACTCGGATGTTCAACAATTGTGACCAGTTCAGCAGCAACGCTACATCTCTTCCTCATAGCAGCTGACGAACACAACAATTTGTGACCAATTCAGCACCGCTTCTTCACTTTCTTCACTCAAACAGGAAGCAGCTGACCAACTCTTTTTTCAACGTGTCAAGACAACAAAAATCAATTTGTCGAGACATCAACAATAACGTCCTCCAAAAATATGGATGTTCACCTTGTGACACAGTTCGGGACTGTACCAACAAAATTTTCAATTTTCAATCTTCAATTCTCAACAATTCGTACGAGAAAAACAAGCAGTGACAGCAGACCTGAACGAAAAACTTCAACATGTTGAGACTTGCAACAATCTTCTTCAACAGTTTGTCAAGACATACTAAGCGACATGACATCCTCCAACTTTCATACTCAGGATGTTCGCAAATTTTGTGACATGTTCGACTGCAGCAACAAAATCTTCAAATCTCCAAGCTTCCAACTCCACAACAAGCAAGGAGCAAGCAAGCAGACCGAACGAAAAGATCTCGAATCAACACATGTTTCGATTCACAACTTCAACTTCAACTTCAACTGTGGACAACTTCTACTTCACACTGTCGAGAAATGACGGCTCACCTCTTCTTTGCATTTGCCTGGTCAAATATCTCCCTCACTTACTTGACGGCCGTCAGGCAGCAAGCAGAAAAGAGCTTTGCATTTTGCTCGGTAGACATAAATCACACTCTTCTCGTCAGACCAACAGCAAGCAAGCAAGCAAAGCAAAGCAAAGCAAAGTCTTGTGGCATAGACTTACATACCTACCTATGGATTAACACCTGCAGCACAACAGCTTTGGGTAAGTTTCCTCTCTTTTTCTTTTCTTTTTCTTCTTCCTTCTTCATGCTTCATGGCACAAACACAAGGATACTAACAATCATGGAAAACAGGGCTCGATGAAACAAAAGCCAAATTTTACACTCGTTCATTCATTTCATTCATCTCGAGCAATGAACATCCCCATCATCGACAGCAGTTGAGACTGATGCCTCGCAAAGCAAACATAAAAAACGGTTTGCTGAGGTCCTCCCTAACGAAGGGAGAAGAATACTTGGTGGTCCAAGGCGGACTCAACTCTAGATTGCAGTAAGTTCCCCTCCTCCTCCTCACTCCTCACTCTCATCATATGACATGACACGACTGACATTTATGGTCGCAGAATTTCAGATGTCAAGAACATAACATACATGTTGAGTGCCTATTGGACCATCAACGCCTGCGTTCGACAGCCTACGGGTAAGTTTTTCCTCTTTCTCATCTTTTTCTGGGCTCGAACTCCATGATCAAACATGTTAACTGACGGTCATGACAACAGGACTTGTTGAAGACACATATCTCAAATTGAACAACTTACTACTCAAGTACAGATCACACAAATCACTCTACACTAGTGGTTATTCATCAATCACGTCGAGCAATCCCACGGCTGCATCGAGACTGCCAATGCATAAATTGCATTCACGCATAGGAAACACCGAACAAAGTGAGTCAACAACAACAACAACCACCACCACCACATGGTCATCGTGTCATTGAGGAAAAACGCAAATGGCTAACGAGGATTATTCGCAGGATTCGTGGTGTTTTAGGTTGAGTTGGCCTGCCAAGGTTGTAAAATCAGCAACACTCAACTGACTGTTAAAGTATGTAACACTTCCCCTGCTTCTTTGTCTGTCTATCTTTGTTTTGGGGATCATGTAAACTGACTTGGTTGTCTGCGACAGAAAGCCGGAATTTGCTCTCTCCTGCAAAATGAACCAAAACTTCAAAGCGGTTCAAAACCAAACGAACCAAAATCAGGAACCAGAACGAGTACTCAGGAGACTCAAAACTCATTGATCCATCCATGGCGGGGAACCTCGACACAGCTCTTCTTCAACTTCTATCTCTACTCTTGAGCTTCGTCCAGCCACTAGTCCCTCTTGTACTCGTTCCAGCAGCAGCAGCAACAGCAGCGTCGGTTGAGCCAACACCGCCAGAATTACCACTTGAATTACCAATACCTCTTTCTTTGGCAATGGCTCCCGAAAAAGCACCGGCATTAACAGCAGTCGAAACCGATTCCACACCGAAATCACCGTCCCTACCAGCAACTTCTTCAGCTCTCTGACGACGTCGCTTAACCAAAACTCCAAGCCGCCCGTCGTCGTGTTCGAAAGCATCGTCCAGCTCGTCACCCTCGATCTTCTCCCACTCCAACATCGGCGCCTCGTTAACCAATCTCTTCTTCAACCGATCCGACATCCGGTGCGGACTGGGGAGTCTGCACCTGTCCAACCACTCCTTCCCTTCCAAACTCTCAAGGAAGTTGTGGATAGTCCCATGAGACCAGCGACCTATGACCAACCTTTGGTTGCTGCCACCCGTCGTCGCCTCAACTTCTGACGGTGTCTCACTACTACCTTTACCACCACTGGGACTCGGACTTTTCGGGAACATGTTCGGATCAACCGAGCGCCGATGGAGATTATCGCCAATCAACAACCGATACAAATTGTGGCCCATGTTGCACAGCTCATCGTATGTGTCTCCTCGCGAGTTTTCAAACCCGAACGGGAGACCTTGCGTGCAACAGGCCCAGGCGATATTGTGGGCGAGCAAGCAGACGGCTTCAATAAACATGCCGGCTGTCTGAGGGTCTTCCTTGACCAGAGCGGGCAACGGCTTTTCGATCCAGAGCGGACGGGGACGGTGGGGGAAAGATCTGGTTTTTTCAACATCGATCGGCGGTCCATCCAACCCGGACTGCTGGTGGTGGCCAGATAACATGGCTGCCGGAAACGGCGGCTCCTCCAGTTGATAGGACGCCTGCGGCCATAAGATTGTCGGTCGCGGGTAGTCTTGGTGTGGAAGGGTAATTTGCGAAGGAAGGCGGATGGCGAGGTAATGGGACGTCAGCATCACCAGATGCGCGATGTTGGCCAGGGATGTGTTGATCACCTCCGGTGAGAGACCTAAAGAACAAAAGAAAGTAAGTCAAGTTGATGCTTGGGGATGCTGGGAGGAAAGGAGTTAACTCACTGTTTAGAGCGTGCAAGTCGATGATCTCGACACCGCCGAGCTCATACCGTTTCGAAGAACCCTTGCGAATCTGCCGGAGCCCGAACAGTCTGGCAGCCTCCTCGCACAAAAACGATCTCGTCGACGCCATGGTGTCAGCACAAGCAGCCCATTTGAATCTAATACGACGAATCGACTCCTGGGTCTCCTCCAGTTGGCGGTTTCGCCTCGCTGCAACACTGGTCGACATGGCCGATAAATCAGACTCCTTCCGGGCGAGAACATCCTTCTTCTTCTCGACCTCCTTCATGGTCTGCTCGGTCTGTCTCTTGAGGCGCTCACACTGGGCCATAATATCGGCGGTTCGAGCATTGGCGGCAGCTATTTCCGACTTGAGTCGGTCCAGGTAAGGCTTCTTGCTTCTAGATCCTCTTTCTGATTCCTCCTCTCCGACGGTGCGCTCTAACTCTTCGTTCTCGATCAGGGCTTGTGCGTTCTGCACTCGAAGCGGGTAAAGCCTGTTGCGCGCATCAACAGCGCAGAGAAAAGGCACCCTGCCCTGATGGGAGCGGTCGCAAAGACTGCAACAAATCATCCTGACGAACAAGAACAAGAGAGATTGACTTCGTCGAGGGATCCAAAGTGGTGAGTTGCGGTTGAAGTTTTATCTCCCGGATGTCAGCAACAGCGAGGCTAACTTATAGTGGTGGTGGTTATCGACGGAACAGATCTTCTTTATCCAAAGACTCGACGATGACATGACGAAACAGCCGATGTTTGCTGCCCGATGAAATGCCCTCAGAGCAATACCGATACCGACTATCGACTACCGATGAAACGAGACGAGCGTCGATACAAACAATGGATCAATCATCCAAAGAAAGAGGAAGGGGTTGTTTGGTGTCAAAGAGGAGATGAACAAGGTCAAAAAAACGAAGTCCCTCTCTGGGCAGGCTGAAGTCACAGCAACTGCACAGCATACAGCATACACACACACACACCCCTGGGCGTCATCCGAGGACAGGTCACCGGGATCAGGTCACAGTCCTCGCCGAATCTGGTCAAGTGTCACACCCTTGGCCTGGCCCTGCCCCGGATTGGCGCGCAGCACAGGGCCCACTTCCCGCTCCTGCCTAGCTCGACTGCCGCCCATCATTCTCGGCCCCTCTTTCAGAGGCTCCAGCGCCCTCCACTCGCTATGAAGGAATCCTCCACAGCTGCAACCGCGCTCTCGAATAGCGACTCCATTCGGCGGCTCTCGGTCTCACCATAACATCGGGGCCTCTCATCAAAAGCGATCACAAAAAGGTCACAAGGGGAAGGAAGTGACGAAGACGAGATCTCGACTACTTCCGTCACACTCACTTATACTTGCACAAAATTTGTAGTGTAGTACACTCCAATCGGCAACTCATCGGGCAGCAAATACAAGACATCGGCTAAAGTCTACAAACAGACCCAAAAAAAAGTCTCTAAGAAGAAAGAGACACAACAAACATCAACAGCTCAAAGTGAAAGCGGCATCACTTTCGACAGCTCAGAAACAACAAAAGGAAAGAGCATAAACTGCCAGCCTTCCGCCCACGCTTACCTGCGCCTTTTGTCCATTGTCCAGAACCATAACACTACTTTCAAACAGAAAATGGCATCTACCCCGCCTCAAATACGGCAAGGACGGCCAGAGTCGCCTGACTCCGATCTAAGCACCGCTTCTCCAGCCGGCAGCGAGCACAACCGGAGCTCTCACTTTGGCGAGGACGACTCCTTTGACGCAAACATTCAGTCTCCTCAATCTCCTCAGTCTCCTCAGTCTCCTCAGTCTCCTCAGTCTCCTCAGTCTCCTCAGTCTCCTCGGTCTCCTCGGTCACCTCGGTCTCCCCAATCGTCTCAGCTCCTCTCGCCTCTTCAGCCAGTTCGCTCAACGCCCATCGTCCCCATTATGGACAGCAACACAAGCAACTCAAGCGGCGGCCCGGACAGCGACGACGACATGGCCAACAGCCCCAGTGACCACGGCAATAACGCAGAGCCGACAGTCACCCAATTCCAACAGGATCAACAAAACCACTCCTCCTCCTTCCTCCCTGCCACAGTTTTCCAAGGCAGTAACAACAACAACTCACAGCGCCAGCAGCAGGTCAAGACTCCTGAGCCGCGCGACAACACCACCACTCCCACCAACGAACCCATCACCACTACCAGTAACCTGAACAATAACAACCTAGGCAACAACAACAGCAATCTTGCCAGCCTCTATCAGACCCTCAACCCGATCAAAACCTCCATCAACCCCACCCCTCGCAACATCCTCGCCGCGCACGCTCTCTCGTCGCCCAGCACCCCAGGCACTCTACCAAACTTTGATTGGGACGACTTCGTCACGCGCTACACCGAGTCCCTCTCGGCCGCCGACGCCCAGGAACAGGAACTCCTCGAAGAGTTCCAGCAGCTGGTACAGTACTTTAACGTGTGGGCGTCGTCCTCTTCGGCGCACGACACGGACCGCGCCGTCAAGCGTCTGCAGACGCGCGAGCGGTACGTGCGCCTTTCTGAGCAAAATCTGGCGCAGAGGAGAAAGCACTTGACGGAGGTGGTGAGGGCTTTTCAGAGCGCGCTGGCGCTGCTGAGTCAGTCTTCTTGATGGCATGACATCGATGGTTGCGATTTTTTCTTAAGTGGTGGTTGGTGTGAGTAATGCGCACTGAGGGAGGAGGAGTGAAGCAGTAGCATGTCTTTAATGCTGCAACCAGAAAAAAACAAACAAAAAAAGCAAATCGAAAGGCGTGGTCCCCGTGGCGGCTTTGACCGTAGGCCGGACTCATGCCGTGGTGGAGGGTAGTTTGGAAGAGGGAGGGGAGAAGGTGTGGTCCCAGTGGCGGCAAAAACCGTGGGCCGGATGCATGCCGTGGGAGGAGAAGTGTGAAGTGGTTTTTTTGGTGGTTGTGTTAGAGTAGTTGTAGCTAGCTTTGGCCTTCGGGCAGGTGGAGGGCCAAGGGCCCGACAGGTATGTTCCCTTCACTCCTTTCCCCCTTTTGTTTATCGCGGCTTTACTAACTCTTCTACATGCCAGGGACGGGGCCATGGGCAATTTGGGCCCAGATATGTATCTTACTTTTTCTTTATCTATCAGTGACACGCAGGGACTAACTGTTCAATACTCATCAGGATGGGGCGCCAGGACGGTGGGAGGCGATGAAGGAGTATATAGTGTGCGCATCCTGTTACATGGGTTTTGTATGCTGGTGATGAGAAGAAGCGAGAACGAGAAGAGCGAGCATAAATTGCTCGGGACTGGAGCATAAACTGCCCGGAGTCGATTGATGTACAAAAGAGTCTAAAGCGCTAAAGCGCTCAGGAGCATAAACTGCTCAGGAGCAGCTTGACAGGGACTGACTGGGACAGGTCATTAGACAAGATCGGTGACCTAGATGCCCCTGAAGATTGAGGACGAAAGAGGGATTTCATTCATGTCTTGAGAATCAGTGTGTACAAGAAGGCAGAAGTCTGTTGAGAGGAATTGGGATCGCCACTACACAAAGTCAGCGAGCTGATGACTGAGGATGGAGACATGATTACATTTGTGCTGAGAGTTTTTGTATACCAGACAGAAATCTGTGTGGATCATACAAGCAGAGTTGCTGCGGGAAATGATACTGGGGAGAAGCAAGGTCTTCTGTTGAGTGATGATGATAATAGTAATGGTGGTGGTAGCGCTTGTTAAACCGAGTAGTTTAACAGCTATAGGCAGGCTTGGAGATTCATGATACAATCAGGTATTCGTCGTGGTTGATAAGGGTCAAAAACTTTAACACATTCCAAATTTTCATATTCATTTCTTTTTTTCTCACAACTGTTCCAAGTGACTTGTTAGACAGTTTCACCACAAAGCGATGACACTTCCCCAGATGACGGATATGTTCTTACGATTTATCATGACCGCGTATTCCATCTTCACGAGTCACCAACATGTTCGTTCAATCTCTCCCACCTTGCCCAGAAAAACAAATCGAAATGACAAAGCCAATAAATCAATTCTTTTGGTGCCCAACGCCTCCATCAATCATACCAGAAATAAAATGATATCTCGTCATATAAGCCATGATGCAGAGCTTCAACACACGGGTATCATGAGAAGCAACGCCTCTTCCATGCCATGCCATACTCAATGACCAAGAAACTTTTCGAACCCATCCCTCCACACACATCGTCAATGCATCATCACCCATCAACCGATGGGCACCCAAATCCTCATGAATCACTCAAGGCATCACCACTCATCTGGCCTCCTGCGCATCCCTCTTCACCGTGCCATAACCCCCATCCACAGCCGAACCAGCCCTCGTCGACCCCTGTGAGTTTGAGTTGGATGACACCAACGTACTCCCCTCATCCACCACATCTTCTTCTTCTTCCTCCTCATCACTGTCGGAATCAGAAGAATCCGTCTCCAAACTCCTCGTCGGCCCCTCGCCCTCCACAATCCACCAACTCGGCACCGCGCCCACAGCCGCCACAGCACTCAAAAACCACCAAGGCGCAATGATGTAATCCCGTCCCGTGACTCCCCAAGTGAAAACCGCTCCGGCGACCGCGGGTCCAATCGCCCTTCCCAGTCCCGAAAACGTCGTCGCGAACCCGTTTAGGGTTCCCAAGATTCGTAGCGAGGAAGCAGAGTTGGTGAGTAGGATCGTCGTACAAGGGAAGCCGATGATGACGGCTACGCCCTTTATCAAGAACAGTGTGAAAAAAGCGACGTAGCGCATGTGCGTATCCTCGATTAGAGCAGTGTAAGGTGTCAACAAGTAGACGATGGGGAACAGGAGGACAGCGGCGCGGTAGCATCGTAGGACTCCAAACCGGGCGCAGAACCAGGGGAACAAGAAAAACTGCACGACGCCGCAGGCGATGCCGTACACCGTGTAAATGGTGCCAATCTTGTCAGACCCCAAGCCGAAGCCGCCGGTGAATTTGAAGGGCAGACGAGTGTTATCTGGGGTTCGGTCACCGGGCGAGATGTGGGGGTAGTTGAGGAAGACAGGCAGGACTTGGTCGAAGGCTACGCTGTGTAAGGCCAGGAAGGTGTAAGAGGTTAGGTTGATGATGGTCTGCGGGGTGAAGATCTCGCGAAGGGTCGGGGGTTCGGATTCGACTATGGACGTGGAGGTAGATGGGGGGGAGATTGGGCGAGTAAAGGCGCAGAGGCGCCGTCGTCGACGAAGGAGTGTCGTCTTGTATTTCGATGGTGATGGCCATGGCGTTTCTTAAAGGGGCGAGTGAGTTTTTCGCCGAGGACCAAGCCCCAGTCTCGATGTTCCCGACGACTTTCGAGGGTTTCGCGGAGGAAAAGGAGGCCGGTCATGAGGGAGATGAAGAAGATGATGCAGGCGACGAAGTTGGGCAAAGCGAAGGGGTATTTCTTGAAGAACTCGATGTTTCCGAAGAGGGATGGGTATTGCTCGGCGGGCTGGGCGAAGAAGCCGCCAAAGGCGGGGCCGAAGACGCTGCCGATGGACCAGACGAGAGGCATCAGGGAGAAAGCCTTTGGTTGGAGTTCTTTCTCGGGAACCATTTCTGCTACCATTGTTCGCAGGATACCGACTAGATGTCATAGGTTAGCATTCATGAATTCGGGAGTTTCTCGAGGAGACCTAGGTGTTGCCTACCATTACCGTTACCCGCTCCCATGATAAACCGAACAGTAATAGCCATGGTCAGACTAGTGGACAAACCCCATACAACGAAGCAGATCATGGTGCTCATAAGACCGATGAGGATGATGGGCTTGCGGCCGAACCGGTCAGACGCTCTCCCCCAAGGCACGGCGGACATGCTCTGAGCGACTGAGAAGATGGATCCTGTGAAGCCGGCCCATTTCGCCACCTCGTTCTTGGGAACCCCGAAACTCTTGATCATCTCGGGGAGGTAAGGGTAGATGGACGTTGCGGCTAGTGGTTCGGCGAACCTGGCGACGGCTGTGGGTTGAGGTATGTTAGCATGATGTTCACACAAGTGAGATATGACTATCTCTAGTATGATTCTTCAGGGCATATTGTGATCTCGTAGAAACCAATATTACTTACCCAGAATCGCCAGCTGTTGCTTGGGCAGTTTGGGGCCATCTTTGGCTTTTGTTACCATGATGACAATGGCCTACTCTGTATATCTCGTAACTTGCGCAATCGAGAGAGTATAAGCAAAAGATCCGGTTCCTTGAGAGTTTTATTGCAACGAGCAGACGCAATGTTGAAGCAGGAACAAAAGCATAGAAGAAGCGCCCGAGTCTACTATCTTATACGAGGTGGCGACTATGACTAGACATGGAAGGTGTGCAGGATCGGTTGAGGGTTGTCAGATTTTGACGCCCTTGAGATGACACAACAAGGAGGGGCGGAAAGTGGACGAGGAAAGAGATAAAGATGAAATAAAATCCAAAATACGAGAAACCCGGAAGAGAAACTTCGAACCCTTGACCCCCAAAAAATTATTAGTCAAAAGGCACAGAGCCGGTGGTACTTGTGGACAAAACGAGAATAGAGGATCGCTGTTCACATGCGGCTTTATGCGGAACTATGGAAGGTACGGATGGACGGGGTTCCTAGGCTCGAGCTAGGTTCCATTGCCCGCTAAAGAGCCCTTGCTGAACCACTGAGAAAGGGAAGCTGCCTGGAGCTAACTGTGACCCATCTGTGTCCCGCGCCAACTCGTGCCTGTTGGAGTTGGTTCACTGTAGGTACAAAGAATCTTTGGCTGGAGAATTCCACTTATCTGTGACTGTCCTTCCTTCCTTCCGGGCCATCCATGGAACACAAGGGGCAAGGATTGTTCGAACCTCCTTCCAGTTTTACCAACATGGTCATTGATCTCGTGCTCCTGTCGAAAGTCGAATATGAATTGACCGGGTACAGACGGTGAACTGTGGCTGTTAACCGGTGAGAAATCTGGAGCGTGTCGATATGTGAGAATTTACAAATCTAAACTCTGAGGTATTGCATGTATAGTCCTCGCAACCCTTCTCTCTGTCTCAGTAGTCACACGCACCGACACAATACATTCGGAAATCCGTCCCATTCCCGCTCTCCGACGTGGCCGGTCAAGGAAAAGGCTTTCCGTCTGTTGTGTCCGAGGCCGTGATCGGCTTTTGAAGAGGATCACAGGGTCGTCGTCCACCCTCGTCTGCCATTGGCTGCCACCGGAACGCTGGCTTTACTTACATGCTATAGGCAGCAGTGTACAGCCTTCACTTTCTCTATTGAGTCGTCAGTGCAGCATCGTGACTTTTGGATCTAGCAGCTGAGTCAACGTTATCCTCCCAAGTGTGCAGGCGGTTACGGAACCCTTTCCCGCCCTTCATCAACCCTTGTCTGCTGCATGGGCTATTGACCCCCGCGTCAAGGGGGCGCCAAAGTCGAGATGGCCACCAGACCTCGGATCTTACTGTTTGAAGGCTTGAACTGATTTGCCTGATGGTAGACGAACAGGTTGACCATCAACTTCAGTCAGCGGAAATATCAAAAAAATTCCTATCGTGACTGTTTGTCGGTCGCGGATCGGCGTCAGTCAACGAACTGAAGTCGAAACTCCTGCCAGTGGTACACAGCAGCAAACCTCAACGGTCACTGTGCTACCTAGAGGTACTTACAGTGCATGGACCAACCCATTTTCATACTGTATTTACATCAGGCGGGGAACCATCCAGGCCTGCCGTGAGGGGTCACCACTACGATATTGAAGCCAGGCCAAGATTGTGCCAGTCAGCAATGACGCCAACCGTTAAAATCCGAGGAATTGTCCAAACATCGCCGGCGATAATCGATGGAAAAGCACTTCGGATTGCGTGTCTTGTCATTGATAGGTGCATCAACTTCAGAAGTGGACAGTGCGGCAGCTCCCGTCGCTGCAGGCGGAGAGAATTTGTTAGCTTGCGAGACTTACCAATAGGTGAAGATAGCTGGAAATCTTATGTCACTTCAGTTAGTGACTCGTGATGTTACGTTACGTAGGTAGGTTGGTGACGACGCTTATCAGATGAACTCACCCAACTTCATTCTTTTCAACTCATCTTTATAAACTCCATCCATACCTTATCCCATCGTGGCATGGCCAAATCCCATCACCGCCAAGGACATCTGACAAAGTGTAAGTGAGACCTCACACCCTCCCATCCTCAGCCGACGACCATCTGCTTTCTATATATTGCCCAAACATTCCATCGTCCACTTCCCATCACACCCTCTCACGAGACCACTTGTCTCTACATGGGCCTTCAAGCTTCCCGTTCCCGGTCCGTGAAACCCACGGTTTACTTCCTACTGGATGTCGGCGACTCTTCTGCCGCTGGTCAACACACCCTTTCATTCAGCTACTGAATTTAGTTTTTTTTTACATGCAGTGTATCAACAGACCATCCACGCATAGGTCCAGATTAAGCAAGCTCCAACATGGGTACCGCCTCCGAGCATACCCCCCTCGTCACCACGGTGAAGGTGGAGGCTGTTCCTCGGCGCCGATATTCTCACCCTGTCGCCCGCCGATTCTTTACCCTTTCTTTCTCATCCATCCTCGTTTGGTTCTCCCTCTTCTTCATCGCCTCCTTCACTCTCCTTCCCCGTCCTTCATCTTGGCCCGGCTGCGGTCATGATCGAAGCAAGGTAGACTATGAGCAGTTGCGCCAGCTGCTTCTTGACACTCCCAGCAGTGAACAGGCTGAGGAGTGGCAAAAATACTACACTGCCGGCCCCCATCTTGCTGGCAAGAACTACTCTCAGGTATCTTGATCTTCCCAGAAGCGCAAAGTCGTACCTATTCTGAGTCGTTTTATAGGCACTCTGGACAAAGGAAAAATGGGAAGAGTTTGGTGTCAAGTCACACATTGTAGACTACGAAGTATACATTAATTATCCAGTCGACCATAGGCTGGCCCTCCTGAAGAAGGAGGACAAGAAGGACGACAGCAGCTCGGACAACTGGAAGGTTTCATTTGAAGCCACTCTTGAGGAGGACATCCTTGCCGAAGATCCGAGCACAAGTTTGCCCGAGAGAGTCCCCGTTTTCCACGGCTATTCTGCTTCTGGCAACGTCACCGCGCCCGTGGTGTATGTTAACTATGGCACATACCAGGATTTTGATGACCTGCTCAAGGCCAACGTCAGTCTTGCCGGAAAGATCGCCATCGCTCGTTATGGCCTCATCTTCCGTGGGCTCAAGATCAAGAGGGCGCAGGAGCTGGGAATGATCGGCGTTATTCTTTACAGCGACCCCGGTGATGATGGTGAAATGACCGAGGAAAACGGCTACGCGCCTTACCCCGAAGGACCGGCTCGCCAGCCTAGCAGTGTCCAGCGTGGAAGCACACAGTTCCTCAGTGTTGCTCCAGGCGACCCGTAAGTCATTGTGTTTTTATGAGTTGCATGCATGAAGGCTAACATGAATAACAGGACAACACCGGGCTACCCTTCCAAACCTGGTGTGCCTCGTGGGCCGGTTGACGGAGCTATTCCCAGCATTCCCTCGATTCCCATCTCTTATGCCGAGGTCCTGCCGATTCTCAAGGCCCTCAACGGTCATGGTCCCAAGGCCGCGGACTTCAACAAATGGTGGACTCATCAGACTGGTCTGGGCTACAAGGGTGTAGATTACAACATTGGACCGACGCCAGATGACGTTGTTGTGAATCTCTACAATGAGCAGGAATATGTTACCACTCCTCTGTGGAACGTTATTGGTATCATCAACGGTACCATTCCGGATGAGGTGATTGGTGAGTAGTCTTCCTCTGGATTTGGTGCATGACGAGCCCGATACTGACTTGTAGCATAGTTATCGGTAACCATCGCGATGCCTGGATTGCAGGCGGTGCTGGTGATCCCAACAGCGGATCCGCAGTTCTCAACGAGGTCATCCGCTCCTTTGGAGAAGCACTGAAGCTTGGCTGGAAGCCCTTGCGCACCGTCGTCTTCGCCAGCTGGGACGGTGAAGAATACGGTCTTCTCGGATCCACCGAATGGGTAGAGGAGTATCTTCCTTGGTTGAGTGCTGCCAATGTTGCCTATCTGAACATCGACGTCGGAGTCCGGGGCAAGGTCTTCTCGGCCTCTGCCGCTCCTCTTCTCAACAGCATCATCTATGCTGCCACCGGGGCCGTCGAGTCGCCCGACCACCCGGGCCATTCCATTCTCGAGAAGAACTGGGATAAGAAGATCACCACCATGGGAAGCGGCAGCGATTTCACCGCCTTCCAGGACTTCGCCGGAATCCCCTCCTTGGATGTCGGTTTCAACGCCGGCGAAGACGACCCGGTCTACCACTACCACAGCAACTACGACAGCTTCTACTGGATGAAGAAATACGGCGACCCGGGCTTCGTCTACCACAGAACCATGGCCCAGATCTTCGGGCTCCTCATCGCCGAGCTCGCCGACCTCCCCGTTCTCGCCTTCAGCGCCGAGAGCTATGCCACTGCGCTCGACGGCTACGTCAGCCAGGTAGAAGACAAGCTCGACGCCGCGCTCCATCCTCCCAAGGAGGAGGAGATTGCCATCTCTACCCTCACCGAGCAAAGCATTTCCGAGTTACGCGGCAGACACTACAACACCAGCAACACAGCCATCACACCCGCAAGCTCCAACGCCGCTCTAGCCTTCCGCGACTCTCTCAAACGCCTCCACGACGCAGTCGGCAAGCTGACGGAGAAGGCGGCCCGCCTCGACGCCGAGGCTGAGGACCTCAGGAGCCAGGCAAGAGAGCACATCCCATGGTATCACTGGCACCAGAAGATCAAGCTGGGGTATCAGATCCGTAAGCTCAATACCAAGTACAAGTACATCGAGAGGAGCTTCTTGTTTAGCCAGGGGTTGGATGGCAGACCGTGGTTCAAGCATGTCGTGTTTGCGCCGGGATTGTGGACTGGGTATTCTGGAGGTATGTCGCTGCCTAACTTTGCTCCTCTTTGAGTGATGATGTTGATGATACGGGATCATGATGCTAACTGATTTGCTCGTACAGCCGTGTTCCCCGGTCTTGTAGAGAGCATTGATGCGAGGGATTGGACTAACGCTGAGAAATGGGTTGATATCATTGATGCTTGCATTAAAAATGCGGCGAGGAAGTTGTGAGTCTGCGTCTGGTGGTTGGAAGGAAGAGGGATGGATGTAAGTGGAAGTTGGATACATCATGCTTTTGAGTATATGAGCGTTATGTCCAGGGAAAACTGCGATTATTTGACGTTTCTTGGCGGTATCGAACAAACTGTCACCTATATATCCATCCTATGGACTATACTATATAAGACAAAGGAACAATTTTCCCGTCAAGGGAAAAGTTTACCCGTCAAAAAATCCGCTTCATTTTCCCCCCGTTGTCTCTTACCATTCCCTTCCCTTCCCTTCCCTTTCTCACTCCCCAAACACCTCCACGACTGAACCACCTACTCACGGCAACTGATAAACCCCCACCGGCACCTGCCCCCGATGCGTCGGCACGGAAGGCGTGGGAACAGGCGACACCGCTTGAAACTGCGTATAATTCGTCCGTCCCGTTGTCTGCGGCGATATCAGTGAGTGAACCGATCTTTGACCCTGTCCACCCAGATGAGGTGGTTGATAAGTTTGATATTGTCTCTGTTGCTGTTGCTGCTGGTGCTGGTGGTTTGAGGTTTGCTGAGGGCTCAAGTACGGTTGTTGCTGGATGTATGGTTGCTGTTGGTGTTGTTCGTGACTAGATACGAGGGTGTTGTAGTACGCCGGCGCTGGGGATGGGATTTGCGGCTGCTGGTTGTGGTTGTGGTTGAAGCTCTGATTGTGGTTTTGGTTGTGGGGAACGGAAATCGGTGTCGAGTTGATTTGCTGGTAGTGGTATGCCTTTTCGTTGATATTGGGGATGACAGCCCCGGAAGGAGTGGCGGGAGTAGCACCTGGTACGGGAGAAAAGAGGGTGGCGTTGCTGTTGCCCCTGCCCCTGCCACTATGGCTGGACGGGGAGGACTTGACGGGCTTGGAGTGTAAGCCGGCGGCGCGGTGGCGGTGGACAAAGACGGAGTGGATGATGAGGGAGATGAGGTGGAGGATTCTGTTTTGGGGGGTTTTTGTCTGTTAGCGAGCAGGCAGGCGCCGTGGTGACTGGGTGATGGATGATGCAATGTGCTGTTTGGAACTGCGGAGAGGGTAAGGGATGGAGAAGTTTGGGAAGTCGCGACTCAGACCATCGGGTCACCCCTTCCTTTCCCAGATGATTTACGAGAGCGAGGGAGCAAAAAGGGCAGGGGCAGGGACGACCAAGTAGAAGTAGTGCTCAAGCGGGAACGGGGATACTACCAAGGAGAAAAATCCAAAGAAGGAGTGGAAGGAACTCACAACTCAATCGCCCCCAAACCAGCAGCAGCAATAAAACAACTCGTCGCCACGAGACGTGCCTCAATGTCGTACTCATTAAATCCATACCCACTACCATCATAACTCGAACTCGCCCTCTTCTTCTCCAAAGCACTCGAAGGCGCATACAGGTCATATTCTTCATACGGATCTCCTCCTATTGAAGAATCAGAGGCAACATCGTCATGATAAGGCCCAGCAATCGGAACCATGTACGGATCAGCCGTCCAGAAGGTCATGTACCAGATCATGGTCGAAGTTAGCAGCGCGAAGGAGGCGAGCCATAGCACTAGCAGCAAAAGGTCGAGGGCGAGGACGGCCCAGTAGTTGTAGGCTTTTGGGCCGGTGGCGACGGAGAAGCGCGTGATGAGGTGGTAGGTTGAGGTTATGAGTGTTGCTATGGCCTTTGTTGGGAGGGAAAGCCGGAATAGAAATGGGTTAGTATTTGAAATTGTGGGGTGAGATGAGTTGAGATGAGTTGAGGGTAGAAAAAATGGGGGAAACGGGTATGTATGTTCGGACGGGGCGAGGAGGGGGATGGAGATGGAGATGAGTATGAGTGTGAGATAGATTTTCAGGCTGAGAAGGGAAAGGAGGACTGGACATACAACTGCCAAGAGCAACACGGCTCCGTCAAAAACGAAGCCTCGTATGGCGTAGGCACAGAGACCGGCGATGAAGATGGCGATGAAGAGTTGGACGAAGCGGATGCCGATGAAACCTTTGGGGTAGAGAGGGATGTGTTCTCGCCCAGGCGCGCGGTCAGAAGGGTATTTGGAGTATGCCATCGTTGTTGTTGTTATTGTTATTATTGTTTGGGCTGGCTTCGGAGATGATGACCTGTTGAGCTTGTTGTGTTTGGCGATGGGTATGAGGAAATCGCAGGGATTTACGCTGCTTGACGAGAGCTTCTGGTGAAAATGAAGATCGCGATGATGATGCTCAACAGCCTCTAGACACACCCGTTCTGAAGCACCAAAAGAAAGAAAGAGAGAGAGAAAGAAAGTATCACCAAGCTCCGAGACCGAAGAACCATCTGCACTTGAAAATAATGTAGTCACCCCTTTTTTAATCACCGTCTCCTCCTCCTCTTCTTCCTCCATCGATCTGTCTGAATCCACCATGAGCAACTTCTCGAAATCCTCCGTGTTGTATCCAAAATGATGTTGCCACATGTCTACTGTTCCGAACATATGTGGCGTTCATTTTTCAAGGCATATCCATGCCAGGAGAGGAACAAAATCCAGATTTGCCTTACGAGATAGTACCTAGTGTAGCTCTAGAAGCGGAAAAGAACGTCTTGGGGAAGAATAAAAGGCCATGTATACCGACATTCAGACAGATAAACTCTACTCGCCATCTAAGACCAAGAAATGCGGCTAGAACCTAAGGAGGGTCGGCCCCAAGGGCCCAAGATGCCCGTCCAGCTGCTGGATGATTTAAACGGCGGACCAATATGAGTGAGGAAAGAAGGAAAAAAAAATCGGCGGGTAGCTGCAGTAGGTGTCTAGGGGTTTCAAGGTATGAATCCGGTATATACCACGGAAATCAGTCTTCGTGCGCCAGTGTTGAGTTATCGACGGGTGATACGTCGAGTAGAGCTGTTGGAATCCAGATATGTCAATGAACTCTGGCCCTTTTCTGCCTGTTTGCTTGCTCCTCTGCCATCAGTTCAACTTGGTAATTTACCCCATGTCTCTCACCTCCCAGTACCTCGGGTGCCATAGCGACTTCCTGGAATGACTCGTCTCTGTTGGTTTCCTGTGTAATGTGACTGGAAGCAAAACTCCCGTTATGCGCTTCACCAAACCGCCCATGGTCCACAAGCAGACATGCCAATTTCCTCATTTAGCATAGTTACTAACGTACAAAGAGGGGAGACACCGCAAGTTTAAACGCCGCGAGACACACCGACGCAGACAATGTCATGATACCGATTTTGAGTCTGGGCTTGGGTTTCAGCCTGACCCGGACCCTCCTTCCGTTTTCATTGCTTCCAGACTTATTCTCTGCCAGTCCTGACTCAAATCTCTGGATTGCTCCTTCCCCAGCCTGGCGTCTCAGAGGATACATAAGATAAAGCAGAGCAGGAGACAAGTACAACCGAGCAGTTGCCATTAGCAGCAGCAGCAGCAGGATGGGGAACAGCTAACACACCCCCGACGACTTCCCACCATTTCAAGCCATCGCAACGCTCACATCATGAAACCCAACCAAGCCCAAATACTCCTCCGCCAACCTCCACCTACTGCCCAACCTACCCAAACACCTCCCCACATCTTCCGCCGCCTGCATCACTCCCACTCCTGCCCCTCCTGCTTCCCCTAGAGACCCATCCTTCCCAGGGGCAGACCCAGTCCCAGTCCCAGATCCAGTCCCACCATCATCACCCCCCTCCTTCCACAACCACCTCAACATCGCCAGCCCGCTATACAAAGAATCCAAACACAACGGGCTCACTTTTGCCAACCCCTGCGGTAACATGACGGCATCTAGCAATTCCATGCATAACTCCCTCACAGCCCCAGAGGAAAGCGAGCGCAGCCCAGCCACTGCCCGCACTTGAAAGGCGTGTTGGTTGGCTGTCTTAGGTTGGAGGTTCTCGAATCCTCTGGCCCCAGACCCGTCGAGGAGGTTCTCGGGACAGCAGTGGATGTCGTAGAGAAGGAAGAGAGCGGACTGGGCTAGACTTAAGGGAGGCAGGGAGTGGGGGTTTAGGGGTTGGAGTTGGGGAGATAGGGAGGAAGTGAAAGTGAAGGGAGGAGAGGAAGGGGTGGCGGAGGAGAAGTGGCTGTGATTGTGGTAGGGAGGGTTAAGCGGGATGGAGGAGGAGGTTAGGAAGTGCCAGTGCGGCGGCGGCGGTGGTAGTGGTGGTGGTGGGGAGGCTGATGAAGTTGATCCTGTGTTGGACTGGGTGCGTGCTAAGCTGTTGAGACTGGGGAGGAGTTCTTGTTGGATGAGGGTGCTGAAGGTGGCGAGGGTGTTGATGAGGTCGTCGACTTCGTTGATGTCGAAGGGGTCGCCGTTGTCTCCTACTCCTAGTTGTTGATTGCGTAGGGTGGTGCGGACGTGGGTAATGGTTCTGCTGACGAGCATGGATGATTGGACTAGACGGGCGAATCGACCTTGTGGTTGCTCGAGAGGTATGGTGATTCCTGCGCTGAGGGCACGGCCTGGATCCCCGTTGTCCTTTGTGAGGTAAGAAGCGTTAGGAAGACAGTGGATGAAGGGTAGACAGAAAATGAAAGTACTTACCCAGGCATCATCATCCACAGGCAAAAGATAGTGCTTCTCCGGCTCCGGCATCACAAACCGCTTCTTGTTTCCAAGACAGATCACCCTATCCAGGATGTAGATAGCCCACCAGACCCGTCTCCGTTCCTCAGACTCAGTCCAAGTTGTCTATCCCTAAATCAAAAGGGCAGGTATTATCCCGCCCCAGCATAAAGTCAGCAAACATCCTCATCCCACAATACGCTCTTCAAACAAATTGAGAAAAAGAAAAACTAACCACAGCACCCAAAACCGCCGAACTCTCCTTTAACCCGGGCAACCCACACATCTCCGCATACCTCGCACACCCCGCCACGCTCATCCACGCCGCTGGCATGATGCCCTGGCCATACTCATACACCGCAACCAGCACCATCGCCTGCAGATACAGCAGACTCACACACCCTGCACTCTCCAACATCGCCAGCATTCCTTTCGCCGCCATATACAGCTCATTATCCGCCGCCGCCGGGGCTTCTTCGATGCTGCTGCCCTCCTGCGGCAACGTCACGATAAGCTTCATACTCAAAATCAACATGGCCAAGTCCGGCCCGGCTTCCCAGAGCGTGTGCCCTAGCGCCATCCGTTTCTTGGAAATAAAGGGAAACCAGCGGTGTATGGTGTCGAAGTACTCGGCTGTACAGTCTTGGACTGTGTTTCCCCGGCTGAGAATGTCATAGACGGCGCGGGGAACGGCGACGGGCGGAGAAGGGATGGAGAGTTGGGCCCATTTGAAGACGTCGATGTTGAGGAGGAGGGCGGAGGGGAAGCGGTTGTTGGAGGAGGCGGAGCCGCCGCTGGCTGGGAGCCAGAGGGGGCCGCGGGAGTTGATCACGGTGGCGGGTGGTGCTGCTTGGTGCTGGGAGGCAGTGTGGTTGTTGTTGCTGGTCTCTGGGCCGCAGATGTTGTTGCTGGGGGATGAGTTTGAACTGGTGGTTTCCTTGTTACCGCCACCACTGCCACCACCACTACTGGCCAAGGCGAGCCGGTTCTCGAGCTCCGCGAGACGGACTTGTAATGCCGCTACATCATTTGCTGTGGGTGCTGATGGTGAGTCGCTGTAGTCGCATTGACGGTTCATACGGGCACAAAGGCCACATGTTGGGACGGTTTTGTCGCATTTCCTCCTTTGAATGAAGTTAGTAACTGAATTTGGACTGTTCGAATGATCTAATGCAGGGAGAAAGCTCAAACTTCGGAAACCAGGGATGGCATGAATGCCGATATTTCAAATTTAGGCTTGTGCGATGATAAGTGAGGATGAGAAACAATCGTACTTTTGCTTACGACAGCTGATGCATGCTTGGCTGGCTTTGGGCACTTGGAAGCTTACCAGCCCGTCCTCTCGCGGCAGGAGACTTAAAGCCATGATAGTCTTGGGCAGATCCTTGGGAGATGATACGGAAGCTGTAGTCGATACCAGTGAAAATGAATCAAGATCTTTGCATTGTTGAAGTACGGGTAAGACGAGCCTCAAATAAAGAACGGCTAGAATATTGTCTCGCCTGTGTACGAAATGTCTAAAAGGGAGTCGGGGATGGCATGCTGACTAAGAACTCTATGCAAAGTTCCTTTCAGCCCTATCGTCAACGATGACAATCAACCTTGTTGGTTCATCATCCTAGCAGAGCGTCTGGGGAGCGGGTATGGTGTGATCAAATTTAGACATCCATTTGGAAGTTCGAAATCATGCACGAGAGACGAGGGCAAACGGCTGGAGTAGTCCATCACAACCTTCGATCCACAAATGATAGTATAGGACACTAATATTATTTTCTGGTTAACAGGATGAGCTTCGGCTGATGTAAGAAGAATACGGACGCTGGTAATGTCTCGATTTATCTACTTTCCATACAGGCGCAAGGCCATTTGCTCTGGATTTCAACGGGTTTTTCAACGCTCAGACAATCTTTTCAGGATATAATGGCCACGAAGGGCGACGATCTCATTTGATGCAATTTCACAGGCATCAACTTAGAACCGTGGCGCAAACCCACGGCGATATCGCAGCTGTTCCTGTACCAAACGTTTCGTGAGCATTTCGGTACTCGTGTCAAACATCTGTCTAGCAAAACAGTCAGCGGAATTCTCGATAAGCAAAATCGAACACAAAAAGGACAATGGCTGATGCTTGAGCTTCAGAGAGAAGATTATAACTCGACATATTCCAGCTATCAAGACACTGTAGACCTTTTGAGGGGTCACAGCATCTCTGCCCGGATTTCCGACTAAGGATGACGATACGATAATGGTTTTTCATCATGTGAGAGCATTTGATAGGGATGGGTATTGTAGAAGGGTAACTTACTATATCATTGACCAAGTCATGCGTATCAATATGCCGCGATGATCTGTCCTGGTAACCTGTCGTACTCGTAGGCCGCGTTGGCCGAGGTTCCACGCCAGCGCGTGCTGTATCAAGAGTGATGGATATCCAGCTCTTCAATCATCATACGAAATACGACGTCTCTGCATCGCCCTCTCGCCGGAAGGCTGGCCGGTTGCTTCCTCTCCATAGTCCAAAGAAGCAAGTCCCTTGTCGACAACATCCCACGTTCGCTTGCGCAAGTCGATCTGCTCACCTCCGTCTGGTCGGTTGTTGTTCTTCTTGCCTCCACGACGCTTGTTCTTGTTCTTGTTCTTCTTCTTCTTCTGTTGTTGTTGTTGGTGCTGCCCCTGTTGTTGCTGGTGCGGAGGTCCGGCCCCCGCTTCTCTGGGAGAAGAATCGACCTCGCCGTCAGAGAGCTGATGATGATGCTCCCCTATAGCACCCTCAATTATAACAGCGACGCCGTCCGCCGCGGGATCCATGACCTTCTTGATCTTGGCAGACTCCCTCACACGACGCATGGCTTCGAGTTCCGAGTGCCGGAAGATGGCGATTTGCTCATCTGTCAGAGTCCGTTTGACGCCGTCGGGGTAATAGCCCAGGCCGTCATCGTCCTCATCGTAGTAGCCTTCTTCGTATTCTTCTTCGTAGTGATACTCCTCTTCGACGGCAATGCCGCTTTCCTGTCCCTCAGCTGCGGCGCTGTTGGAAGCGACGACCGAGTCATCTGGACGGAGGAAATGGGATTCGAAATGACCTGTGGACAGGTTGGAGAAGTGGGCTTCATGGAAAGCAAACATATCAGCCTAGAAGATCGATGATGTAACACGTCAGTATCTGATCATCCTGGATAATAGCAAATCATAAAATAAAGGGAAACATACCTCGCTGATCTGCGGCACCTTGAAGGGTAAAAGCGCTGCCATTATTACAGGCCCAGGCCAAATGGCCTGTTTCGCTGCTTTGCCTTGTTTGGTGCTTATTCGGTTGAAATCAGAGCGAACGAGGGACGGAGAGGAAATGGAGGGAGAATCAATTGGAAGCTCAAGCCAACAAATGCCTGAGCTGGAGCTGCAGCTTTGCCGGCCGGCATTTGTGGGACACGCGGTCACGTGGAAGTTCAGCGTGGTGTCCGATAAGCTCCACACAGGCCGTTATCAGCAACGCTGGAGCCACCCTTGGCGGATGATGCCATCGCAGTATCTTTGTTTACTTGGATGAAACACCAAACGACTGCAATTGAAACCGAGCACCGTTTCAGAAAATTAAGAAACTGGGTGGGCATGATGACCACATATGTATGGCCTTTGATCTTTCATATCTGGCTTTTTTGTTGCCTTCTATTATCCTCTATCTATACACAGCAGGACGTGCGCCGCGTTTCCTCGTCAAGCATAAGAATCGTAGACCAAGCCAATCCCACATTGCCCAACTCAAGTGACGCCGCGCTATTCTGGCTAAATAAGATGGTGATATGTCAATACGCAAGATGAATCCGTCAGAAAGTCCCCAAGTGCGCTTAGAACTTGTAGACCTGCTCGGCAGAGTAGCCGAGCTCCTTGAGGATACCGGAGAGCTCGCCCTGGTCGCGGGGGCTCTTCTTGTTGCCAGAGATGGAGGTCATCATGCCGGGAGGACCGCAGACGAAGATCTTGATATCCTCGTTCTTGGGCTCGGGAAGGACAGTCTTGAGGAGGTCCTTGTTGATGTAGCCCTTGGCACCGGTCCACTGCTTGGGAGGGTTGTCGAGGACGTAGAAAGCGCGGAAGCGCTGGGGGTAGTGGTTCTCGAGGGTGGCGAGCTCGTGCTTGAGAAGGATGTCCTCCTCGGAAACGTTGCCGAAAACGAGAGTAACCTTGGTCTTGTCGTCGGGGTTGTTGAAGATGGCGCGGAGGAGCTGGTACATGGGGCTGATACCGGTGCCGCCAGCAACGAGGGCAATGTGCTTGTGCTTGTTAGACTCCCAAGGGTACTTGGGGAGAGGGCCCTTGATGTCGAGGCGCTGGCCGGGAGCCATGTCGTGGAGGTGGGTGCTCATGGGACCACCCTCGTACTTCTTGACCAAGAGGTCGATATAGCCCTGGGCACCTGTTCGCTCAGACGTTAGTCATTGTGTTGAAGCAGGGACCATTGAGTCAATGCGAAATTGCTTACTCTCGTCGCTGATGGGAGTGTAAGGGCGGAGGACAGCCTTCTCGGCATCGAGAGGCTTGTACTTGGCGAGGATAGCGCTGGCAACGTGGAGGCCAGACACCATGTCATCCTCAGGGAGTCTGAAGCGCAGGCGCTTGGTGTTGTGGTTGACCAGCTCGACCTCCTCGAGCTTGAGGCTAACCCAGCCCTGGTCGCCGCCGACAAAGGCCTTCTTGATCTCGCCGGGGGTGAGCTTCTCGGTCACCTCCTTGACGCTGGCCTCAGCCTTCTTGGCGGCACCAGAGCCGGAGAGGAAGTAGGCGCCGGCACCGGCAATACCAACAGCGGCGGCACCGAGGAGGATGGTGCTGCTGCTGCCACCCTGGGAGGGCTGGGTCGCATAGGAGCGGCGGGTCTGGAAAGACTGTGATTGCGAAGAAGGTTAGTTCAGTGACTCCATGAAAGGTTGTTGCTGGTGTTTGGAGTCAATGGCAAATGTTGCGTGAAGCTGTCGCATTTGCTGTGCTGTGCGTCTACCCCAATTCTGCTCGAGGCGCATTCATGAATGCCGTATGCGCCCGACCACCAGAACTGCCCACGACGGCACCGTTGTGTACCTCAACGCCGCAACACTTCCTAGAGCAACAGCAAATTCGTTCAAAGAAGGAAAGACTGGTGGCTTACCCTCTTGATAGGGGCGACAGCCCGGAAGGCGGACCTGGTGCTAGCAACGAACAGACTCATTTTGGGATGCAGTGTCTGGAAAGCAGGAATTGGATGAAGGAGGGGAAGATCGGATGAGGTTCAGGTACGCCCGTGTTTTAGTGTAGGCTGTATGTAGTCAGTGCAGTCAGTCAGTGCAGGCAGTGGGTGCATAGAGCCCAGGTCCCCGTACCTTTTTCAATTGCGGGTTGGGAGCGTGGGGAGCGTGGGGAGCTTGATTCATGGGTGGGTCTATACGTCATGCAGCGATCTCCAGACGTGATTGAAATCCAAAGTTCGGATCCCGTCATCGGGTCTTTTTCCGCCGAAGAAAGAAACGGGTTTGTCAGCTTCAGCCAACTCCGCAACCGTTGCTATTTTGAATCGGCGGCTTTGTCAATATTGTGTAAATCAGGGTATCTTGGGGTACAAATACCATTCAGGGCAGGGCTAAAGAGCAATATGTTTGTGAGAGGGTGCCGAGATATAGGCGCAATCCGGGGACTGGACTAACACGCCAATGTCCTAAGCAGTGCCTAGTGTAAGTTGTGATTCTTGTTTTGACGTCTGCTACTAGCATCTTGTCTCAAATGTTGATTGCTGTTGAGGCCGAATAGAGTTCAGACACATACGAGAAAGGATTCTCGAGGTTGTCCATCGCGTAGGAAATGAGTACTTGGCAGTGTGTTGATTCTTCTTTTGTATAGCCGGATCATGATGTTAGTCCTCCAACTTGTACACATAGCAGTTGTTAAGACAGTATGTTGTGTCTAGGCTCGCTTTCGCTTTCCTCTCTCGCATCTTGCCTCTTCCAATTCCAGCTCCTCCAGTCCTTGGCCATGATTGTCTCGAATCTTCTCCTCCTGTTCAAGTCCGATGATGACGGAAATCGTAGGACGAAAAACCACCCAAAAGTCCAGACGAAAGAGCAAAAAGAGTGCTGAAAGGGAACGATAAGTATGCAAGAAAGTAGACGCCATTAGCTCGTAGTTGTATTCCATTTTCCATCGCTCCCTAATGAAAGCATGCCCCTGTCAGCAGCTTCTCTTCCTATCGTCCATTACATGGGGATTATTCGATCATCATCAACGTTCTCTTCCTCTCCAACCTTATGCTTTCCTTCGCTTTAAATGAGACTGGGCCCGCTTTCTGCGTCAGCTTTCAACGGGACATTGCATCGTGTCGCATATAGCAAATCATCATCATCACCACCACCCCTTTCATATTCCCACCTTTCATCACCTGTCCGCTTCCGCTTCCGCTTCTCCTGCCTTTTGGCCCTTGGTATCTGTCTCAGCCTCCGGCTCAGCCTCTTCGCTGATACTCTGGTTTTCCATAGCTCCCTCTTTCGATGTCTTCTCCAGTCTCGCCCCAGGCAAAGTCTCCAATGACCCCTGCTCGCCACTCTTCCTCTCGTTTCTGCCAACAGTGTCCTGACTGCCGCGGCGCATCATACTGGCATCGTGGAACAGGTTCGTGGGTGTGTTCGCCTGACTGCCGCCCCGTTGTCCATGATAGTGGACGACCTGCGGTGGGGCTTGGCCAGCCTGAGTTCCTAAAAGGTGCGGCGGATAGGGATCAAGATCCTTGCTTGACGTTGAAAAGGTTGATACGACCGGCTGATGGTACTTGTAATCAGACCCAGAGTGGCTGTGCCCGTACCCATTCGTATTGGAGTTTGAGCTTGGTGTCGAGCTGCTGGCGTTGCTGTTGGTGCTTTGTTGTTGTTGTTGTTGTTGTCAAGAGAGGTTGCAGTCCAGTGTTGTTGTTGTTGTTGTTGTTGTTTTTGTTGTTGTTGTTGTTGTTGTCAAGAGAGGTTGCAGTCCAGTGTTGTTGTTGTTGTTGTTGTTGTTTGTTGTTGTTGTTGTTGTTGTTGGCGTTGTTGTTGTTGTTGTTGTTGCCATTCACGCCAGATCCGCCACCACTGTTGGAGCTTAGGCTTTGTGTGGGGGTGTGACCAAAGGATGCGCCAGAGGCAGTAGCAGTGTGTTCTGCCTGAGTAGGTGTTCCAGCTTCCACCGGGCTAACAGGACTTTCGCTAAGCTGGCCGGTGAGACTGTTCATGCCTCCTTCGATGTCGCGCAGCAGCCGCACATATTCCTCCGGCACAAGACCGCTCTCTTGCGTCTTGGGATCCTCCGCAACCAGCCAGCCTTGCCCATGTCGGTACGACACCCAGATGATCTGACCCTCCACAAGAGGCAACTCGTTCTCGTCTTCCCGGTGGAAGTCGTACAGCGCCACGGCCTTACCGTGCATCTCCTCGTCGGGAGAGGTGATTGTGAACTGATAGTCGCGCGAATAACGCGATTCGTCCATCTCGTGATAGCCGCCAGGGCTGGAGTCGTCCAAGTCGGATGGGTAATCGTCTTCGTACTGGCGTGGCTGTTGGTCGGCAACCTGGTATGCGCTGTGGCGCGCCTGATCGGCCGGATACGTTACGTACTCGCCGCCCGGCCCGTTGGCCTCGCCTCCCTGGTTCACATAGTAGCGCTCGCTACCATCACCACCGGTGCCAACGTAGTAACCCCTCTCCCGGTCATAGTTGCTCGGGTTCATGACCGAACCACCACCGCCGCTCCTTCCCGCACCATAGCCGCCGCCACCACTGCCGCCAGCTGACTTGTGCTTCTTGTGTCTCGAACTGACCACAGGGCTCTGAAGGTCCTCATCCTCGCTCCACGGAGGGCCGTCGGCGAACTGCATCGGGGGCAGATCGTTCGCCCTTCCCCAACCGTCGCTGCTCCATGAGTTATCCCAGCTATGACGATCCCAGGATGTCGGGGGGTCGGATAAGCGCCGTTGCTCGCTGGCTGGCGTGGTCATGCCCGAGGGGCGGCCGAGAAGGTTCCGTGGGGGGCCATAGTGCATAGGATGGCCCATGGGGTAGGCAAAGTCTCGCACCAGCGTATAGGGCAGACTGGATGGGTAGATGGGGAACAGCTGAGAGGGCGGACGAGAGCGGGAGGGAATCGAGCTCACAGTCGAGTACTGCGACAGGCGGTTCTTGGACGCGTGCGACATTGGCCGCGGTAGCGTGCTCCTGCGAGCTGGCGGGGAGGTTATGAGCGGAGAAAGCGGGGGATGAGCGGCTGAAGTCGAGGCCGAGGTGATGGCGGCGGGCGGAGAGGTCGCTGGAGACGAGGCTGGCGACATGATCGCCGTCATGGCTCGAGGGACAGGAAAAGATAGGGGTAAGCAGAGCCTATAGGCTAGCAGTGCCTGGCGTGCCTGGTATGCGCTGCCCGGACAATCAGTTGTTGTTGTGGATCCCTTCCAGGGCACCGGACCGTGACCGCTTGAGCCTGAGCGTGGGAGCCAGGGTGTGTTTTGACCAGGGTCGAGTCTGGTTAGAAAGCACTAGGCAGCTAAGGGAAGGGCTGGCCGGACTGTCTTGGACGGGCGGGAATGCTCTGCTTTGTGCAGTCAAGGCGGGGTGGGGGGGTGTTGGTTCTTGCGAGGTGTCGTTTCGTAGGGCTACCTAGGGAGGAGGTAGACTTGTAATGCCAATATGTAGAGGTTTGCAATGAGCTGTGTATGGACTACGGGCGTCGATTTGCAGATGTTCGATACACGCAAAAGGGCCACAGGTACCGACGGTTTAAAGTTGTTTAGAAGTTCGCTTGTTCGTCGTCGTCTGAAGTCTCGGAAATGCAAGGGCTCTGGACTCTTGAGTGTTTCGGTTCGGGGTCGGATTCGCTGAGGGATCCCGTGTGAGGGACGCAGGGTTGAAAAAGAGCTGGAGGTGTGCGAAACTGAAGAACTCGGACTACCGCGGCCGAAAACGCTGGAAGGGCACACTGGGGTAGCTAGGTGGGCAATTGTCTGCTTAAGGAGCTTGTATAGACATGGAAAACCCTTGTTTGGTCAGCAAAAATGAACAATTGCGAGCTGTCGATATAGACAGGGTGTGGTGAGGAGAAAGGGAAAAAAAAAGGAAGAGAAAAGAAGAAGAGAAGAATGTCAGGCAGGAGTAGATTGGGGGGGGGGCGCCGCATCAAGTTGGTTACTACGACGGGATAGTACAACTTCAGCAACTTAAGCGCGCTGCCGCAGGAGTACTCCAGGTCCAGGCCCTGCTCCTCTCATTGGCAAATGGCAGCCGCTGGCCAGTCAGTCGAACCTCTGGGAGACTCGGTCGCCTTCGACCAACATGACCTCTTTACTGCGCGACAGGAGCTGCGCTATCCCGTATTGTATTGTAGACGACGGGATGGCAAATTATTTGGGGGAACGGGGTTACGGGGGGCCAAAAACCCACCTCGGAGGGCACCTCTCGTCGACAATCGATGGGCAACCTACAGAACATGATTTTCCCTGTGCGTCAACCATCGAGGTTCAACACTTTCGGTTTTGACTTACACCCAAAATACTCTCACCAACACTTAAGGTTTCAGGTCCAAAGGGGCATGCAATATAGCACGCGGGTAAAAGCGTCCATGGCACATGTATAATATCATACGTGTTTCTCTATTGTTGGTTATCATATTCCAACGAAGAAAAACTTCACACCAAACTCTCCAGAACCTCCCATCCCAGCAGGGATGTCTATCATGTCCTGTGTCCACCATTGGATGTTCTCGATGCCTTCTATGTGGGTGATTGGCTCCGTGAGTGCGTCCCAAACAGCAACGTGGTACCCATGGAATTTCCCAAGACACTACTTACTGTAGCTGTGACTAAATTGCGAATTCTGCAGGTGGGGATTTGAAAGGAAACTTGATAGAAATAATGAATCCATGTTCGGGAGTACGGTGTTTAAGAAGAGCGGACAGCTCAAGCTCAGAGAATAAATCAAAGCCCATGGCCGAGGCTTGAGGGTCCTGCAAAAAAAAGGTTCCTAGGGATCGTCTGTAATTCTGCAGTGCACATCCGCGGACCGCTGCAGACTCACGACGAGGTGGGGAAAGCTGACGAGAACGGAAAGAGGGCAACGGGCTGCATGACGCACGAGCCACCCACCAATTCACTCTGAAACACTGAAACCGTTCTAATTTTGGAAAGCGGTCAGGCTGGGCATTAATCCGCGGATGACCAACCACTTGTCCCTCGCAGTCGGTAACCAAACAGATTTGTTCCCAATTCCACATCCCACTTTCACCGTCCAAAACCTCCGAACCAGCAACAACTGGCGAACCGGTCTGGACCTCAACAACAACAAAATTTTCAGAGTTGATGCTCGCTCGTGTGGTAGCAGGCTACCTCGACTAATTTTAATCGTCATCTGTCTGCGCTTTGCGCTCAGCTGAAGCTTGAAAGGTAATTGATGCGCTCTTTTCCCCGCCCCCTCACCCTCAGTTCTCTTTATGATGATCTCTTTATTGGAGCTGTCTGTAGCCTGCTATGTCTGGCGCTTGATGACAAAATTTTACATACGCTTTTTTATCTGATATGAACCGAGCACAACCTACACTTTTGAACTTGCCATTGCTACAAAGAAGGAGGAAATGGATAACTAACATAGATATCCCGCGCTTCCTAGGTCTCTCCAGTAAAGCATGCCACAACTGCCACAACTGCCACAACTGCCACAACTGCCACAACACTAGGTCCTCTCCGTATAGCTGCCGGTCATGTCTGCTGTAGACTCCGCGACTGGTGCTGCGAGCTCCTCGAAGCCCGAACAAAATGGGCAGAACGGTCAGAACGGTGGGCGTGAAGACCCTGGCGGCTTCAAGCTCAAGTTTTGCACCGTCTGCGCCAGTAACCAGAATCGGTAAGCAATAGCTAAGCATCGCAGCGCAACTCGAACCGGATGACCCCGTCTAACCCTCATCAGCTCCATGGAAGGTCACCTGCGACTCTCTCTTGCAAATTACCCCGTGATTTCGTTTGGTACTGGTTCTCTTGTCCGACTCCCTGGGCCGTCCATCACCCAACCCAATGTCTACAAGTTCAACGAAACATCATACGATAGTATATATCGGGAGTTGGAGGCCAAAGACCCTCGCCTGTATCGCGCAAACGGACTGCTGAACATGCTTGGAAGAAACCGCCAAGTCAAGTGGGGCCCCGAGCGCTGGCAGGACTGGCAGATTGGAATGCCTAGAACCAAACATAAGGATGACAAGGGCGCCGATGGCATGGAGGGCGGCGTAGCTGATGTTGTCATCACCTGTGAGGAACGCTGCTGGGATGCCGTGATTGATGATCTCCTCAACCGTGGCTCGCCGCTCAACAGGCCTGTCCACGTCATCAACATCGATATCAAGGATAACCATGAAGAGGCTTCCGTCGGTGGACGAGCCATTGTTGATCTGGCAGACTCGCTCAACAAGATCGCTACCGAGGAACGGGAGAAGGTTGGCGCTGATGCCTTTGACTCGGGAAGCGTAGGCGCCAGGTCAGGATTCGATGAGCGCGTACCGGACGTCCTGGCCGAGTGGCAGGAGAGGTGGCCGAATCTTCCTGCGACGTGGACTTTGGCTTGGTTCTAAGCATTGAATTGGCGCATTGTTTGGGCTCATGCATCGTTAAGGCGTTGGACGTTCTTTATTGCCTAGCGGGGCGTATTTTGCGGTTACGGGACAGGGATACATTTCTTAGGATCACGATTGACGACCAGACAACACAAGACGAGCAAGACGTTTTAGGCGTCACAACATAATTATGGTTCGGACTCATGGGTGTTAGCAACAAGCCATGTTGTCCTGAATCGCTGCAAATCAAGCATTTTCTTCCCCATCTGCTTACTTTGTCATAATATAACTATACTGCATGCGTTCTCGGAGATGGGAGCTCGTCGGTCCAGTGCCCTTCCCTGCATGGTACCCCAGAAGCATCTTGAGATGACGTGCCGCACGGTTCATTATAAACAATCTGGATACGAAGAAAATCTGGAAGAACATTGATACCTTCCGTGGCTTGGTATCTGGGGTACCTACCTAGAGGTACCGGACGGTTACCGGTGTCCAGACAACATCGGATCATGCAAGAACCGGCCGTGCCCCATTGCCATTAACAGCAGGCTGGTAATAATGCAACCAAAACGTGCGAGGGTCAAAGACCCAAAAGATGGAAATTGGGCTATGGTCATTGGACACACTCTTGACACGAAAGGCTACTATTAAGGTTGCTGCTAATATATGTTATCACTGTCATGTTGGTTTGGGCGGGAGTACCCGAGGCCGAGGTGGCATTTCGATGTATGTATGTCGACGTGCCTACCGGTACGTAGATAGGCAGACCAAATCCCGATATCAAATAAACACTACATTTAATGCGGTTTGGAGGTTGCCGCTACCAATGTTCAGTCATAAGCTGTCAAGTTGTTGTTTCAAACCAAGACATGTTATGTTACTTGTTAGCATACAAAAACTCCAGCAACCTGCAACGGCGCAAAAGTTGATCACCGTTTTAGCTAACATGAGAGATCTACCATAGCAGAGATACGAAGGGGGGCTTGAAGTTGACAATCCCGTCAGAGATGAAAGACACACCTACTCCAGAAGTCCCCGGGTCCCGGGATGCCATGTGAGAAGGAAAGGGGGTTTGGTTGTTCGGGTGGTGTCCTCGCTACCATAGTAGTAGATGGTTTAAATTGCTCCTATGGGGAAAGGGTAGGTAACTAGCGGGCACCTAGGTACCTGCTCACTCGCCTACGAAGTGCCAGGCCCGAGATTTGATATCAAGCCTCTCTGTTCCCACTTCCCACTTCTCACTTCCCACTTCTCACTTCCCACTGTATGAACAGGAACGTCGTCGACCCGTGCTAGGGCCCTAAAACGCGAAAATGAGGGGGACCCGAGACCGACGAAAGATGGATCTGGGTCCAGTTTCCCTTTCCATTACGTTTGCACAGTAGATCATGGTGCCTCCGTTTGCGTCAACGTATATAAACCCGACAAAACGAAGTGTAATTGCCGTCCACGACATTGTAGACAATGGTGGAGTGCCAACCCGTTCATCGTGGTCACTGCCGTCAGAACACCATCCCCGCAACAGCATTCCGCTCTGAAATGTAAAATATTCACCCACATATCAGGCGGTGTTTGACTTGGCTCTGGAAATGACTCTCCGCGCTCTCCCACCTGACATTAGTTGTAATTACATAGAGGCATGGCCTAGCACGTGTAGGAGGAAGGAGGAACTCCATGTCAGCGGCCCAAGTACCTCTGTGGAAGCTACCTAATTGCGCCAGCTTGTCTGGGAAATCCGTACCTGCCGTAGCGCGCGACTAATAACCAACAACTGGAGAAGAGCTAGGAAACCTCACCCCTGACGCCTGCAGTAACGGGTCAAGATGGATTCTGATTGGCTGAACGGCCATTCCATTGCGCTCAGAGCCCCCAGCGCTCTCACTCAAACCATCCACTGTGCCTTCCACTGCTTTCTCAGAGGACTGGACATCATCCACTTCCAGTTTGGGGGCCCTGAATGATCAGGGGCTTTTGCTGGATGTGGCCCTGGATAATTCGTGGGCTCTTCGTGGATTCTTCATTTCCAACCCATTGCGCGCCCCGGAACACAGTGGAGGAGCCGTTCCGTTCTCCAAGCGTCTCTTCGCCCTGTCTCGTCTTACAAAAAGCTTCTCCGATTTGAGTGGCACCGACAAGAAAAAGCCAAGACGCCGTCCACTCGCTGTCCACGCATTCGGTAGACCCCCCGCCAAGCCGAACGTTAACCTTGAGGGCTGCCTCTAGTCCCGTCTCTACGAAGGTTCCCCCCAAAAGATCCCCACGATCTAATCAACCAAAGAAAGGGCATCTGGAAACATCGAACGAGTCAAGCAGTCGTCCAGTTCATCAGACGAACCTCTCCCATCATTCCAACTCCTAGTCTGCTATCGGCACCCGGGAACAGCCACTCTTTTGGCGACATCGCGCAGGGCATCGCATAAAGTGTAGTGTACCCACCCCCTGTTCATCTTCCCGCTCCCTTTGTCCTCCTTCCCTTTCGCGCCTCCAAAAGGGGAATTCGAAAAGTTGACCAATATGCGTTTCATGCTCCCACAGTAGCACATAGTCCTGCACGAGAAACACCCGCGAGACCTTTCTCCTGTCGAGGGTGCACAGCATATGCTACATTCGTCCAATACCGGCTCTGCGACACTCCGCGTCTCCTGGTAGTCTGTACCTCTCTACTTGCTGAGACACCGCGAATCATCCACGAACCGGTTACCTACGCCTTCCTTTAGGGACACACACGGGTCGACGACGACAATTGCATCAAGCAACCTCCATCATCGTCAACTGCGCGCCACATCTGACTTTCCTACTGCGTCCGATTGATCGATTGGAAGCGGGCGGTGAACGAATACCATGAATGTTCGCAATGCACCATTGTCACCAATTTCTCAAGGCGCCCCAAGCGACTGGAACTATCCCCGAACGACAATAATCTCGGACAATACAACACCCCCCCGGACTCTGCGAATCCAGCCGGCGCTATGAACGGCGGCTTCTCCCCCATGCCTCAGAGCCCGAACGGGGCACCCTCTCCTCCACCGTCCGTTGGCCGATCCAGCACCGGCATGTATGCGAGGAGTGAAAAGAGCCAGAGTCAACATGGGGAAAACCAGGAGTTGGTTCTGTCTGACCACTACATCTCACTCAAGCGCTATCTTTCAGCCACCTCACGCGACGGCAATCCGAAACCGCCGCCGAACAAGGCCCGCGATAAGCTGCAACGCCTTACTGGGGTGCAGTTTCTTGAGCTCAGTACCGATGTTTACGACGAACTGAAGCGCCGCGAACAAGTGGCCCGAAGAGGACCCAATGCTCCTCCCGAGACTGCTCCTCCAGATTATCTTTTGCCCGAGGACAATTTCCACCCCAAACGGAATCAAGCCCGTCAAAAATTGTCCTCTCTCGGTCCTCCTAGGTTTCGCGATCTCGCCACCGATGTCTTCTGCGAGTTGGAGAGGCGGTATCCTCAGTTTGCGAATCTGGAGATGCCTCTCAATGCTAGTCCGATTGCGATGCGTGGCCCGCCGAGCCGCTCGGGAACACCAGTCAACGGGATGAGCGGCTTCCCTCCCAGAGGTCAAAGTCGCAGACGCCCTTCCGAAGCGAGCTCGGTCCGAAGTGCGCGCAGCGGTCCTCCGATGCCACCGATGATGAACGGCGGATACGGTGTACCCCCATCTCCTGGGCTTCCGCCGAATGGCGACTATGGGCGTCCGATGCCGAAACAGTTCCAGAGCAACACGATCGTTCCGAACAAGAGTACCATGGTCGAGGAGGACGATGAGGGCAACCCCATGAGTCCCGGTCAAGGTGGTGATATGTATGGCAATGGCAGGAGGTCTATGGGCCAGCAGTCCGAGGTTAGTACTCTCTTACTTCCGGCGGAACCATCATGTGCTAACTCAATACAGGCCGACAGGAAACTTATCCAAGACTACGAAAACCAGGTTAGGGAGCTGCAGGAGAAGGTCGACAACATGGAGATGGAAATGAGGAAGAAGGACGAAGAGTTAAACAACATGCAGTCCAGAGATGACGACAAGAGGGAATGGGACGAAACCAGGCAGAGCTTGGAGACGAAACTAGCAGAGGCCCAGGAACTGAACGACTCGTTGCAAAGGGAACTCGACCGCATCAGGGAGGAGCACGAGGATGAGACGAGGAAGCTCCGGGAGGAACTCGAGGACGTTCAACAATCAGGCGGATCTGGTTCGAGAGGAGACGACGATCTGGCGAGAGAGAACGAGGAGCTGCGACAATCTTTGCAAGAACAGCAGCAAATAACGGATGCGGTCCGTCGCGAGGCCCAGGAGTTTTTGCGTGAGATGAGGACGTTGTCCCAACAAAGCGGGGCTGCTTGGGAGAGGCAAACGGAGTTGGAGAGGACAATCGAAGGGTTGGAGAAGGAGGTCAAGGAGTGGAGGAGTCGATATGCGCGTACACAGACGCAGCTACGCACCATGCGTGATTCGTCAGAGGGCGTACCACTCGAACAGAACGCCGGCAAATTCGTACGGGAAAAGGGCTTCGTCGAAGACTCTGGACTTGTAAAGGACCTTCACGTTACAAAGTTCCAGATCGCGATAGACGAGCTCCTTCAGCGCGCTCGCAACGACAACCCTGAGCGTGTGATTGACTCTATGAAAGCAGTCGTGGTCAGTGTCCGTCGGATCGCTAAGGATATCGACGAGAACCCGCAGAACGAAAGCATCCTTCAAGAGAAGGCCAAGCTAAAGGCTCGGGTATCATCGACTGCCAACAACCTGATTACGGCATCCAAGAACTTTGCCAGCTCCGCGGGTATCTCCCCCGTATCTCTGCTTGACGCAGCTGCATCTCACCTGGTTGCAGCAGTCATCGAACTGCTTCGGGCCGCCAAAATCCGCACCACGCCTGCGGGTGAGCTGGAGGACGACGATGACGGAACAGTAACCCCAGTCGGCTCAGCCAGCTTCTTTTCCCCGCGTAATGGCCAAAGTCAGACCTCGAGTGTCGCATCTGCCCATGAGGTGCTAAAAGCCCAACCCCCAGCCTTCCAAGGGCTAGGAGGAGGAGGAGCAGGCAGCAGGATTAGTGTCGACTCGTCTGCCTACAGCAGCGCCAACTCGCCGCGCGAATCGTACGCCAACAGCAAACCGACCGCTCCGGACCCTCGCCGGGTCGAGGACCTCAAGTTCTACCTCCAGGACCGGACCTCGGTCATGGTGGAAACGATCCAGAATCTGGTCCAGCTGATCCGCAGCGACGCCAACATCAACCAAGTGAGCGGCGAGATCGCCATCATCACCGACGTGGTCGGCAAGGTGGTTGCCGAGACCGATAACTGCCTCGGCGGCAGCGCGAGCAACACCGTCATCGACCTTGTCCGCAGGCTAAGCAACTGCAGCGACCGCCTCAACGAGGCCGGCCACCGCGGTATCGAGCTTGACGCCCAGGGCAGCCACCCCACGAGCCGCGAGTGGCGCATGTGGACGCAGACGCTCCCACCCATCGCTTTCGAGCTCGCCAGGGAAACCAAGGAGCTCGTGCAGCAGGTGGATCGGTTGGCGGCTGCTGGTATGAATGATGGCGCTGATGACTTTGCATGATTCGATACAAAACACAAGACAAGACAAGACAAACGCATGAAGTCAAGAATTGCGGATTATCATCAAACTTCTTCTTCTTCTTTACACCTTGCTGCTTCTTCCTCCAGTCTTTTTTTCTACTCTGCTCTCTTCTTCTTCCGGTCGAGCTGGGGCAAAACTGTTCGCCCTGGCTTTGAAAAAGTTTTTTGTATTGCACGCTTTGCGTTCGTCTGTCTTGAGACCCATCATTATCTTCATCACCTTTTTGGTGTATACTTTGGATGGATGGATGGATGAAGGATAGATGGATAGATGGATACTGACTCCAGGCAGGCGGTTGTATAAATGGGATGTTGGAGGTTGTTTGATTGATTGATTGGTTGATTGATCAGTTGATTGGTTGATTTGTTGGTTGATTCATGTTGTTCAAGTCGAAGACGGGATTGTTGAGAACTTTGTTAGGGAAGTTGGGACGTTGGAAGCGCACGGAGGAGGGCAAAAAAGTAGAGAGAGACGGAGAGAGGGGATTGGAAGCAATGGACTGGAAAGTACCACCTCTTTGTCTGCCTCCACCGCTCGCTGTTCTCCTTTAACGTACCTTAATGTTTATCTCTAGTGTTTGGTTATTTTTATGTTTGTTTCTTCTTCTTCTTCTTCTTCGCCATTCCCCCGTTTTGTTGGCTTCCTCTTTTTCTTCTTCGTTTGCATTGCCTCCTTCGTCCGTTCGCGTTGTTGTGCTTCTGTTGTTGTTGTTGTTGTTACTGCTTCTGTCTTTGTTGCATTGTTGCATTGCTGCTGTATATACTTTGTTTACTTTACCTCCTTCCTATCTTCTACCTTCTACACATATTCTGGATGAAGACAATTCAGTTGGTGTGTCGTTTCTTGTATCGCATGTCCCTGGCTTCACCAGAGACCCATGCCTTTTCTTGTTATATGTTTCTGCTTTTGCATTGCCTGGATGTTGCCATAAAAGGGGGAGGAGAATGATGTGGGGTCTTTGAAGAGGACAGAATGGAAGAGGGGAAGGGAGGAGGAAGTGTTATAGAGAGTTTGCAGAGCTTGGGGAGCTAGGAGAGCTAATACCATGCCACCATGCCATACCATACCATAACTACATCATCAATAGAAATGTAGTTTGCGATACAACACTCTCCTTCCTTCTTTCCACCTTTCACTTAAGTGACAGACATAATGACGGGAAGCCATGGTGAAAAAACATGAATGCATAGAAAGATAGAGAGTATTATAACCTAAGGTACAGAGAAAAAAGAAACCCAATAAAGTCTTTGGTGGTATCAATCAATCAAAAAGCTCACAACCAATAACAAGAACATGAATAATGCTGCTGCTGTTCCAGTTCCCCTTTCTTTCTTTCTTTCTTTCTTTCTTTCTTTCTTTCTTTCTCTCTTTCTTCTTTCTTCTTTTCTTCCTCCCTTCCTTCCTTAGACACCATTTGTCCGTCCGCCCATCCATGCATCCAAATGCAAAGCGAAAGAAAGACTGCTCTAAGTGGTAGTGGTAGTAGACGTAAACCAACAAGCCAGCCAGCCAGCCAGCCTGGCTAGATAGATGCACGCTATGCTTTCCTTTCCTTCCCTCACAACACGCTTCCATCTCCCCTCCCTCCTCTTGGCTCCCTCACTTCCTTATTCATCGCCCCTTACTGGGTACGATAAAACTTCTTATACACCAAATGCAACAACAAGTTGACGTTCAGCCTCAGCTGCCCCTCAAACAGGTTCATGAACTGATGCGCCTCAAACTGCGCCTGCAGCAAGTCCTCGATGGGCACCAAGGCGCTGGCACCCGGCATCTGGATGTGGCCGCGACTACCCTCGAGACTGAAAATGCCGACCTCGTCGCACGAGATGGTGATGTTGATCTGGCCCCAGTCGCGCTCGGGGATACCCGTCCACGAGACGAGCACGCCCTTGTCTGAGAGGGCGCGGGCCGAGTACTTGAAGGAGCCGAACTTGGGGACGCGGCCGGAGCGCTCGAGCTCGCGCTGGTGGTTGTATTGTTTGGTGAAGGGGAGGAGGAAACGTTTCTTGCTGTTTGTTGGGGAGTAGCGGTTAGCATGCGAGGATACCAAAAGGAAATGGGAGATGGTGATATACGTACCCTTTCTTATTCTGCAGCGTGGCCATGGCCTGCTCGATATAGTCATCGTAACTCTTGCGCTGTTGCTCGAGATACTTTGCCTTTTCGTGCAAATTGCCGAGTGTCTGACGGACACCCTCGAGTTCCCTCTGTCTCTGGACCCTTCTCCTGCTCTTGGTGCGGATATCCAGCGCGATGGCGTTGAGGATATCCTGGTAGTAGTTTTGCTTGGAGATGCGACCCATCTGCTCCAACCTGAGGATGTTCTCGAGCGCTGTCCTCTTCAGATCGTAGTAACTCATGCGCGTAACATCAATCATGTTCGCCTCCGAATAAGCGCCTCGGGTGTTGGAGTTGTCGCCAAAGTCTTCGCGCAGAACCATCCTCCATTTCTGCTCATCTTCCGGGTTGATTGGCTTGACAAGAATTTCAAGCAGGTTGTTACCCGTTTGAACCCGAATGATGTACAGAATGCACCTCTTGGTCTCCATAAAGAGACCCTTAGTCTCAGCTTCTGGATCCTCCATATCGTGCAGTTTAGGAGTAAGGAACAGCTGAATATCAGCAGACCCGCCCGCGGTCATTTCGTTCTCGTTGTTCTTGGCGTTACCGAGATCTTGGACGATCTCGCGCAGCATATCATCTCTGTTGGGACACATGTGAGGCAACTCAGCAGCGATGAGGTTGTGGATGGAAAAGATATCAGCCATCTTGATATACAGCGTCGGCTTGTTCTTGGCGTAGAGATCATTGAACTCGTCAATATCGAACGTCTTCTCGGCATCGGGTACGTCGATAAGGGAAGCGGTGATGTGCGCTAGGCGCTCGATTGATTCCGCGACGAAGGCATTAAGAGGCTGAAGATAGATGTTCTCTCCGCCAAAAGGCCGGCCTGATGCAATCTGACCCAGAACCTTTGCAACCTCACCGAGGTTACGCTTCTGGAGGGGACTCATTTGCTTCTCCGTGACTCCATAGGCCTCCGGACCGACGAGAGCAGGCTGAAGATAGAAACGCCAGAGCCAGTTGCTTACCACCTGGAGCAGATGTGCCTGGTGATCCCTCTGGAAATGCTGGCAGAGGGCTTCATACGTTTGCCGACACACAAATCTCAGGCCGTATGGCATGCGAGGAAGCAAGTCCTCCAGGGCAAGGAGAAACTGGTCACAGATCTCTCGGAGATCACGCAGATGGTCGATAAAGAGCTCCCTTGTTTCGGGATCCTTGATGGCGACCTCACGGGGAACATCTAGAGGCCTTTGGCTGGGCCGACCGGTCCTCAACTCCTCATTGTTGATGGCAGACCGGTAGATCTGCATCGGGTCGCTTTCAAGATCCAGCGCAGGGTCCTCGATGATGTTGTCCCTGATGAGGGGTCCCAAGAGATCCCTAAGGTATTTCCTATCGCGAGGGGATCGAGTGTAGTTCTGGAGCAGCTTGGTCCAGAAGAAGTTGCCCCTCAAGTAATCCGGCAGAGCAGCACATGCTTCGATTTCTTCCCTGATCGACCTTGCAATAAGCTTCAACAGATAGTATTCTTCTCTCCGCTTTTGCGCGTATCCGAACAGCCCCATCATCAAGTGTTCAATCCGCTTTGACTCCTTTTCTGATGTTCCCTGCTCGCGGATACGCCTGAAAAGCTTGGCCAGGTACTGGGGTTGCGTTTGGAGGGTGAAGAAAAGCTGCTGGTAAGACTCTAGCTTCCTGCGCGAACTCTTGTTTAGAGCCTTGAGGTCAAATTGGTTGGCATTCGAGATGACACTGTTGGCGAGAAGATTGTTGGCATGTCCACCGTAGTTGTGCTGATGCCTGACAACTTCGTCGAGGGTGATCTTGTTTTTGACGAGAAGGGCAATCTTGATGTCTAGCTGGTCAATGTACTGCTCCAACATCTCGTTTTGCCGAACCTGTTGAACAACAGTCTTCCGGAGGCGCTCGAACTCTACTTCCTCGTTGAAGTCAAAATCGCTGTCGTTCAAAAGATGGACGAAGTTCTTGACGGCGTTGACGGGCGGGTTCTTTCCAGATGTCAAACTCTTGTAGGCTTCACCCTGAAGTTTGGCTCGCACAAAGCTCTGAATCTTGACAACCTTCTGCATGTTCTGCCGGAAGAAGCGCTTCTTCTCCTCGTACTTGGCTCTGACAACGAAAGCCTTGGCAGCAGCCTGGAACGCCGCCACAGACTCCTCATTCTGTTCCAGTTCATCCAAGACCATTGCAACATCGCTCCGAAGCAACATGGCCCGAGCAAGGGCTTGCAGTTCGGTGATCTCCTCGGTGTTGACCGCGAGCTCATCCAATAACTCGCCACACTCCTTTCGATAAAGACATCCACGGATATGTGTTTGAAGGTCAATGATGCTTGGTGTCTCCTGGGTAAGAGCATCCAGGTCGTCCGATATCCTTAAACGTTCAAGCATGCCGCGAATCATGGATTGAAGATCGATGATGGCTTCCTCTGTTTCTCCGATGCTTTCAAGCTGCTCTGAAATCCACCTCCGCACTGCTGCTGCCCTAATATGGGACTGAAGAAGGCCCAGCTCAGTTGAGTGCTTCTGCAACTCTTCCTTGGTAGCGTCGACGTCGGACCTGGCAACCTTACCACGGAAGGCAGCTTGGATAGCGGTCCATTGTGGCGCAAAGCCTTCAAGGGCTTGTTTCTGGGCATCGACCTCGGTCCTCGCCTTCATGGCCCTGACGGCAGCCTGAAGACTAGTGATGGCTTCGGTGTTGCTCTCCAAGGAGGCCCTCTCTTCCTCGATATTCTTCCTTAGAATCATACCACGAACCGCACTTTGAAGTTGAGCAATTGTAGCGCCTTCGCTCTCCGTCTTTTCATGTTGCACAGCAAGCTGCTTCCTGGCCAGGAATCCACGAAATGTCGCTTGAATGTCTCGTAGGGGTCCGGCTGCCGTCTCCAGCTGGGAATGCTGCTCTCGAATCTCATTGCGAACCTTGGCCGCTCTGACCATGCTCTGCAGTTGCAAGACAACATCCTCGTTGCCTTTGAACTGCTCCTCTGTTTCTGTCCGCTGGCGACGAGCAAGATACCCACGTGCCGCCTTCTGCAGCTGAATCGTGAAACATGTTTGCGCATACTGGTGACGAGCAACATATCCACGTGCCGCCTTCTGCAGCTGAATCGCGAGGCGTGTTTGAGCATATTGGTGACGAGCGATAAAACCACGGGCTGTCTGTTGCAACTTGGTTGCAAAGCTCGTTTGTGCCTTTGTCTCCGCATGTCGATGGCGGGCGAGGAAACCGCGCGCTGCGCTTTGAAGTTGGACTGCAAAGTTCTTCATCTGGAGCCTGTAATCCACCACCTGGCGAGCCCAGTCACCACGAATACGAGACTGGAGATCGACGATCCAATCTTCGGTATCCCACAAATGTTGCATGGTGTAGCCAAGTTGTATCCTAAGAAGCGCCGCTCTGGCCTGGGCTTGCAACTCCACAATGGCCTCTTCGTTTTCGGCCAGTTCCCTCTCAATGCGTTCCTCCTCTGTCTCCTCGGGCTCAGGTGGCTCAATTCCAAAATCGGCTCCCATATTGCCGAAGCTAGGCATACTAGCCCCCAGCTTATCGAGGCCTTTTTGCATCGCCTCCAGCTCATGGTCTTCGAACTCAAGCTGACCGACTAGGTTCCCGATGCGGAAATCGACGATTCCTTTCCGGAACAAGAGCCAACTCAGCGCATGGAGACAGTAGATAACTTTCGGGATATTCTTTTTCTCGTATAGATCGATGAGCTCAAATCGGAAGAGATCAGGAAGTTCGACTTCATCGAGGTAACGGAAGAAGATGGCGATGTTGTCTGAATGGCGGTATTGGAGCTTGGGATGGCGGAAAATGCGGAACTTCTTTTCAGGGTTAAGGGATTCGACCACTTCAGCCAAAGTGACGCCATCTCGCAAAGCTTCCTCTAGTTCGATAATTGGGGGAATCGGACGCTGTATGATATCCTCAATCCATTCCTTGGCTTCACCAATGTGGCAAAGGTACTCGTATGCTTGTAGAAACTGTCGCTGCTTGTCCATCCACTTTGTCTCCCATCCAAAGCCGCCATTCTTTTGCCGCGCCGTTACAGACTTGTCAGCTCTTTGCAACTTACGGCGTCCGCGGAGACCAACAACTTCTTGCGAAGGAGATATTATGGCAAGCTCTCCCGCCGTTCCATCTTGTGCGAACTGCGAGAGCGTTCGCAATTGACTTGTCGATGAACGACCCAGCTTTTCTAGATCCGGACGAGCGAGGGCAATGGGACTCGAATGAGCGTGCACTAGAGCCATTGATCCATTTTCATTTCCTCCACGCACAGAATCTGATCTGGATAGGAACATGGAAGCCGGCCTTCGCGTTGAAGGGGTCGTCGGAGAAGTCACCGGAGGCGATGTCACGGTCGGAGACATGCCCGACAAACTGCGTGTGTTGTCACTAATCGATAATTTGCCGATATCGATGCTATGACCGCGCTCGTGGAGGGCACCCGTGGGCGATATCCGCGGACGTTCCGGTACCGAGGACTTGCTGACATCGAAATTTGTGCCACGTTCATGAAGGGCGCCTGTGGGTGATATCCGCGGGCGTTCTAATACTGAAGTCTTTGCTGTATCGAAACTTGAAAGACGTTCCTGGACGGTGCCCGTGGGAGATATCCGCGGGCGATCTAATACCGAAGTCTTTGCTGTATCGAAACTCGAAAGACGTTCCTGGACGGTGCCCGTGGGTGATATCCGTGGGCGCTCAGTTGCCGACGGCTTTCCGTTGTCGAGACTCTGACCGCGTTCGCGATGGGAAGTTGAGGTCCCATACTCGCTGATGGATAGCCTGCCGATGTCGACACTTTTTCCACGTTCGTGATGGCCTGGTGTGGGCGTTCGCGGCGCAATCTTCGAACCCGCATTCACTATGCTGTTGGCGGTCGCTGTTCCCATAGAGGCTTGAGACGTCGGTCGGAGAGACTGGCGGGCATTTTTGAAGGGATTATCGCTTGTCGGCGTGGAAGGAAGGGTGTGGGAGCCACCAGACAGGCTTGAGGGTAGTCGGCTCGCCTCACTTTGACCTCGCTTGTGTCCATACTGGGAGTAAACACTGGTTGCTGTCGACAAGGAACTGATGGGTCGACTGATATCCGACTGGCCTATGGAAGAGGCTGAGTACCCCGATGACGATGTTGATGTGGAAGAGGATTGTCTATTAACCGAGTAGTCGGCGGTCTGTGTTTGACGAAGGGGGTGTGGTCTGTACGACGACATCTTGGGCGAATTGTCGAGGCTACCGGAGGGAGGATAGTTTGGACGTAGAACTCGTTTCGCAGAGACCGAGGGTCGCCGGCCACATCAGAGCGAGCGGCTTTGCGATGCGGTTGCGCAGATCGTCTCTCGTCTTGCCGTGGGTTGTGGAGTAGGCCGAAGATCAGACTCGAGTTGGGTGCCAAGCGGGTGGTCGGGGGGAACAACTCGACGCTTGTTTACTATCGCCTTGTCAGAACGAGGATATACGGGAGTCGGGAAAGGTATAGGCTGAGTCGGGACATGCGTACGGGACGAAGCGTGAGGGCGATGATGTATTAAAACTTTAAACTTTAACCAACAAGGTACGGAGTGGTGGATGATGGCAGTTGGAAGTTGGCGGGCGCTTAAACCGGCTCAGATCTCTCTTCGCTCGTGGGCCGACTTCGGAAAATGGAAGGTTGACTGCGCACAGCGCACGTGAAGGGATGCCTCTAGGGCAAGTAGCACACCTCCTAGAAAACAAATTCGATGGTCAAAGCAGTATTATGGGAATAGCTTCATTCCGTCTGTCCTCCTGCAACAAAACAAAACAGACAACCGGGAATTTGGAAATGCAATGGCAAGCAAGGCGAGGCGAGGCGGCTTTGGCGGGCTGTAGGCACTTGGAGAAGAGGGACATGGGGGTGCCCAGTGAGTGGCTTGCAGTGGCCTCCGCTCTGCGTGCTTGGAATAAGAAAGTGGGCGGTTGGGAAATGGAGGGGGAACACGAGATTTGCGGCGGCCGGCAGTGGTTGGCTGCCTGTGGTGGCCTGTCGTGGATGGTGGTTGCCCTATCGCCCACTTGCCCTGCAGCTGCTGCCCATTTGTTTACCATCCCATGTGCCTGCCCGCCCTGTGCCGCCCTAGCAACCAGAAGAAGACGGGACGAGGGGAGACCTCGACGAAGGCTCGAGCTTGCAGTGAGCACAACCCTGCCCAGCACAAAATACAGGGCACGCAGGGCAGATGAGCGTTGAAACATGGAAAGCAAGTTGAGCTCGAGCCATCACGGCCAAGTCCTCCCTCCCGAGCTTCATCCCGTCCTCTTGGCGGGTGACCTCATCCCGCTGCCGGTCCTACAAATGGCCGCAAGGGCCGAATGGGCACATGTAAACTTGAAACTTTCATTCCTGCCGCACGGACGACGGTTGTTGTATTGTAACAAACACAATGCCGCATAATAACGGAGCCAGGTCCGCCTGGTCCAACACGCTCGAAACACCGGCATCGAGTCTTTGTGTTTGAACCAGAGGTCAAGTACTTGTAGCCATAACACAGCCGACCTGGAAGACTCAACTTCATCCTGTTGCCTCCCGGTCCGCTGGAGCGAAGAATGATCGGAGGGATCAACGGAGAATATCCCGACTTCGCAGATTGCAGTTGGAATTCACCTGCAGAAACTGGGAGCAGTCGGAGTGACATGAGATGACTGATGTGAAATGAAAATCGTAAAATCGGCGGTGCTCCTCCACAGCACCAGACTGAATGCAAAGTCCGGCCTTAACTAAACGTAGGCTAATTCCCACAATCCAATGGTAGCGACATCGAGTCACACCGAACCCCACCTAGAACCCCCCTTCAAACCACCCACCGCCCGGCAGAAAGCCCCGCGGTCGGGGCTGCAGAGTCTGGACCATAAAAAAAAATTTCGGCGGCAAACTCCCAGAACTTTTCTTTTCCTCTTCGTCTTCTTGGGGGGGGAAAAGTCGGCCAATCCAACCAGTACATACCCATCGCTGGCTTCCCCCCAAAGAATCAACCCTTTGTTTTTATACATCTTACCTGCCCTTACCTCATTTTGCCCTTCTCATCTTCATTGATTGCAGAAATGGCAGTAAACGGCAACAACACCTTCCTGGACCACACCTCCGCCATGGAGGTCCTCAAGGAGTACGAGCGTCGTGATGGCCTCGACATCCGCGAGCTTATGGACTCCAAGACCCAGGGTGGCCTCACCTACAATGATTTCCTGCTCCTTCCGGGTTACATTGGCTTCCCTGCCTCGGCCGTCACCCTCGATTCGCCCATCACCAAGCGCATCACCCTCAAGGTCCCCTTGGTCTCCTCTCCCATGGATACCGTCACCGAGCACGAGATGGCCATCCACATGGCTCTCCAGGGCGGTGTCGGTGTCATCCACCACAACTGCTCTCCCGATGAGCAGGCCGAGATGGTCCGCAAGGTCAAGCGCTACGAGAACGGCTTCATTCTCGACCCCGTAGTCATCACCCGCGACACCACTGTCGGCGAGGCCAAGGCCTTGAAGGAGAAGTGGGGTTTCGGTGGTTTCCCTGTCACAGGTAAGACTCCACTCCCACCGCTTTCTGCTCCCTGCCCTTCCCTTGGTCTACCTGATGATAAACCTATAAATCATAACTTTCGTTCCACCATATCGACCTATGTGTCATGAGGAAACAAATACACTGAAAATCCTGATCGGACCTACCTTACTCAAACCTTTTGGAGCACAACTCGTACCTGGCTTCTGGGAGCTCGTGCTGACTTGGCTTCACATAGAATCCGGCGACATTGGCTCCAAGCTCATTGGCATTGTCACCAACCGCGACATCCAGTTCGAGACTGACCTTGACAAGCCCGTTTCGGAGGTCATGGTTACGGACCTGATCACCGCTACCGCTGGTGTCAATCTTCTCGAGGCCAATAAGATCCTTGCCCAGTCCAAGAAGGGCAAGCTCCCCATCGTTGATAAGGATGGCAACCTTGTCTCCATGATCTCCCGCTCCGATCTTACCAAGAACCTTCACTTCCCCCTTGCCTCCAAGAGCAAGGATTCCAAGCAGCTCATCTGCGCCGCTGCTATCGGCACCCGTCCCGAGGACAAGGACCGCCTTGCCAAGCTCGTCGAGGCTGGCCTCGACATTGTCATCCTTGACAGCTCTCAGGGTAACTCCATGTACCAGATCGAGATGATCAAGTGGATCAAGCAGCAGTTCCCTGACCTCGATGTCATCGGCGGTAACGTTGTTACCCGCGAGCAAGCTGCTGCTTTGATCGCTGCTGGTGTTGACGGTCTCCGCATCGGTATGGGCAGTGGTTCCGCCTGCATTACCCAGGAGGTCATGGCTGTTGGCCGTCCTCAGGCTACCGCTGTCTACAACGTTTCCTCTTTCGCCGCTCGCTTCGGTGTTCCCTGCATTGCCGATGGCGGTATCCAGAACGTTGGCCACATTGTCAAGGGTCTCGGTCTCGGTGCCTCCACCGTCATGATGGGTGGTCTCCTTGCCGGCACCACCGAGTCTCCCGGTACCTCTTTCGTCTCCCGTGAGGGTAAGCTCGTCAAGGCCTACCGTGGCATGGGTTCCATCGATGCCATGCAGGACAAGAAGGCCGGTGGTGGTGGCAAGGACGCCCAGAAGAGCAACGCTGGTACCGCTCGTTACTTCTCTGAGGGTGACAGCATCCTCGTTGCCCAGGGTGTCTCTGGCGCTGTCGCTCACAGAGGATCCATCAACAAGTTCGTCCCCTATCTTGCCGCTGGGTTGAAACACTCTCTGCAGGATTGCGGCATGACCTCTCTCCAGGAGCTCCACGAGTGTGTCGAGAACGGCACTGTTCGTTTCGAGATCCGTACTGCTAGCGCCCAGCTGGAAGGCGGCGTTAACATGGAGTCTTACGAGAAGAAGCTTTACGCTTAAACGCTTTGGCTTTCTTGAATGGTCGGATGGATTTTGATGGTTGGTTTTCAAAAGGGTAATGCGGGTTGTAATGGAGTTCGGTGGCGATATCATGGGATTGAAATGATGGGAATTTTATGAGATCACACGATATGAAGATGTGCGATATGGAATGCAGATATAATCAGCCTGCAAAAAGAGAAGGCTTGAGCACGTCGTTAGTGGACGTTGCTCGGAATCAAAAAATGAAGAACATGTTCTTGATGGATCACACCATTTTTGCTCGTCTCTGTGAATTATTCTCGTGTTCTTGTGTTCTTGTGTGTGTGTGTTTGGGTTCGTGGGTTTGTATATTGAAGCACTCCCGTATGTGATCAGTATCCGCCTTTTGATCCTCTCTTGTGATCGTCAATTGTCGCCAACCATTTAGTGCAATATAGTGCAATATAGTGCAATATGGCTGTGATGTTCGTTTCTTTTTGCCTGCGGCAGAATGTCTTACGTGATGCTACGATTCGCGCTGTTTTCTCGAAAACCCAGGGAATCAGAACGACGATGTCGAGCACAGACGATTATGGAGATTGAAAAGGGACATCGAGCTCTCATCTTCCTTCACATTCTTCCGACTCCCGGTAGCTTTGCCTGTGGTATGATGCCTTGCGCGATGATATTCATGATTCGAGGTGTTGTTTGTACGTACGCAGGAGGGAAATAAACCAAACCAGCCAAGATCTCGTTTTCATGACTTCTAACATTTTTAATG